TATATATATATATATAAGTTTCCTGTAAAAGATAGCTAGATAAATAAAGAGATAGAGATGGAGATAAAGAGAGAGAAAGATAGCGAAGACGAAGGATGATCTCTTTATCTTAATTCCATTAAGTTCTACGGGACGGCAGTTTCGATCGGGTAAATTCGCACACGCGCGTACACACGCACGAACGCGCCGCACATAAAGAAAATCAACATTTCTCTTCTTGGGTACCTCGATGAAATTTCAAGAACGCGCGCTCGTTCCTTCGACATCTTCTCTCGACTTGTTACAAAGGACACTCGGCGTTTCTATATTCTTCTCTATTTCCCATCCATATATACAAAGTTTTATATAGAGTATATATATGTATATAAATTTCCCCTTTCAAACTTTCTTCACGTTGTGTCCCGTCTTTCTGTCGACTCGACTACTCGTTTAAGGACTTAACGAGGAACGCGCGTAAACTTAGTTGGAAATTGAATTTTTGTTGCAGAGAGGTACGACACCGCGTACGCCTGCGAAGGCAAAACGCTATGGATCGAGTGCGGCGAAGGAAAGCTGATCCACCTGATAAGAGCTAACTATGGGAGGTTCTCGATAACGATATGCAACGAACATGGAAATACAGACTGGAGTGTCAATTGCATGTCGCCAAAAACTTTTCGCGTTCTCAATAACGAGTAAGTTTTGTTTTTTTTTTCTCATTGTCTTATTATTATCATAGATTTTATTGATTGTTATTATCCTTACCATTTCCCAAATCCAAGGTATGGAGCAAAGAGCAAGGAAATAATTAGCAGAAATTTCGACTAAAGGGATTGGAAGGAAAGGGAAGGTGGAACGGAAAACGAATGAAAGAGTGTTTCGTATGATTCGGCGAATTGGCCAATCGTTCGACCATCGAAACAAATTCTTCGCTTTTTATTCCATTTATTCCTTTCGTTTTTTTTTACTTTATTCGTTTTCTTTGCCAAATACTTACTAAACATTTTGTTCTTTCATTAAGAGATCTTAAATGTCTGAATACTTATATTTTGCAATTATATTTAATTATGTTATGTTATTTTATGTTTAGTTTAGTTTAGTTTAGTTTAGTTTAGTTTAGTTTAGTTTTTATTTAAAAAAAAATTATCAGAATTTCTTTCACGAGTTCTCGCGCACCACCACCACCGTCTCTTTTTATGAATCAAACTTATGCTTTTCGCGCTCAATTTTCTTTTCATTTATTTTATTCATACTTCTCGAAACTTTTAGAAACTCTTTCGTCTTTTTAATTATCTTTATTTTTGTTTAATACAATTTTTTTCCTTTTCATTAATTTTTCTTTTTCTTCAATAACGCAATCGCGATCACGAGAATCCTTTTCTGCCACGCTTTAAATAATTCTAACCTATACTTTGAATTACTTTTGCACGCTTGTTAAATAACTACGTTTGGCTTGTGCTTTTTATATTGGTCAATTTGATTTATCGCATGCTTGAGTTTTACTCATCAAATCTTCCATTTGCAATTATCAATACAAAATTTATGTGTATCAACGCAAATAACATTAAAAAAAAATAATAGCTTGGGGTATTTTCTTCTTTATTCGCTGACAATTTATTCAATGCTTTCGATAACGGAAGTATTAATCAAACAAATGAAGCAAATAATATTTAACGATGGACGCTCTAGAATATTGATAGTAATATCTAAAAATATGCTCATAAAACGAGAAAACTTAATAATACCAATCGGAATTTGATATTATTTTAATATTAGTATAATATTTCGAATGGTACGTGCTCTTTCAGTTTAAACTCGTTGTGGTCCTATATTGAGTAGCATTTGATATTTCATTTGTATGACGGATATAACAATAAAGCTGTTTGAAAAATTCTTTTTAATCTTTTCAAATATCAAGTTAATTTCGTGAATATATCTATAACATCAAATTGTACAATACATTCATTCGTTTTTAACTAATTCCAAATATTCGGACTGCAAAGAGTTAAAGCAAGCCAACGGTGATGACACTAAATGCTTTTCAAAGCGCATTTAATATTTCTCTCTAATCTCTAATTCGTAGAAGAAAAATACTATCGCGTCTGTATCAAAGCTTCTTCCTTTGCCAATTTTAATATGCAAATTATAATATGTCAATTATATATATATACGTATATTATTCAAGCGAATCCGCGTTAGCTTTCGCACTACCCACAGATCTGCAAAAGCGCATAAGTTACGTAATAGAAAGAGAAAGAGAGAGAGAAAGAAAGAAAGAAAGAAATAGAGAGAGGAAGAGAGAGGAAGAGAGAGTCTTTGAAGAGAATAAAACGCAAACCAAAATCATTTAGGAATTCCGTTTAATCGTACCGCCTAACCAAAACCAATTGCAGATTAACCGTCTGTCGGCTACGTTTCTCGGGACAAAGCGCAAAGCTACTAAACAGCGAGCTTGTGAGATGGAACGGGCAAGTGGAGAAGGGGAATGTAGAGAGGAGTGGAGGAGAATAGGAAGAGAGAAACTAGCCAAGTTGCAGACACTTGAGATTACGATTAAAGAGAAAACGCAAGAGCTTTGCCGAAACGATTAATGAAATTGGATGCGGGGCCCCTACGAAACTCTGCTTTCTCTCGCATCCGTGATTCACCGTTCGAATTTAATGATCGCACCTGTTTCTACGCAGTTGCATTCCATTTTCTTACCGACTCGCCTAAAGATCATAAGTACTTTTAATAAAATATGATGTACTAAATGATTCTGAAATATAGTATCAACCAAATCTATCGAATTACTCGTATTCGAATCTACGATTACAAATTTTAATTCGTCATATGAAACGTTCAGTTTTGAAATATTTACAAATTTGAATGGCAAAGCATTTACTTGGTAAATGCTGAATTTTTTATATGAAAAATAAATTTCTTTTACCCTACTAATGACAAAAAATTAATATTTAATGAGAAATGATATATAAAAATATATGATATAATTTTAGATAATTTTGTTAATATTTTATATTTTTCGTTATGCAGAATCAATCGATTAGACAAAAAAATGGCTCATATACCAATGAACAGTCTTTCATCTTTAAATTTGAGTCAGCGTTAATTAAAGTTGAATTAATTTCGTTGCTCGAAATATTTCTCATCGTTTTATCCTCGTTCTTACACAATAACGAAACGTATTAATATTCAAATGATTCACAAATATCTCTTATAAATGTAGAAACAGTGATACGTTAGATCTCTTAATCTCTCGTTAAACCTTTCGCTATTACGGACAACTGTAGTCGCTCTACATAAAATGCCGCGTATTTTACATACAACGAGCGTATGCAATTATAACACATCAAATATTCTACTCTGGACGTGTAATTTTAGTGTTTTGTTTATTTCGACCAAAAACCGTCAATATCAGCAACAAAAAATACCACAAAAATGAATCTCGGCCATTGATAATTGGTCTCTCGCGCAACGTGCAGTTTTGTTGCTGCAGGTTGCAGCAGATTGTTCGGTAGGAGTACAGCCGCGGTAAACATGCCCGTAGCGGAAGGGTTAAACGTATATTTCAAAAAGATTTTTCGTCGCGCTAGAAAATTAATAATACCAATCGAGATTACATGAAATTTACTATTATAAATTCGGGAATGTTTAAATATAGAGAGAGAGAGAAAGAAAGAGAATCGTTTGTAAAGATCAACATTCGAGCTTTCCAATGAATGAGCATTGAAAATTTCATTAATTTTTTTCTTACATCGAAAGAGAAAAATAATAAGTAATTTCTTCGTCAACTTTATTACAACGTCGTATTACTAAATACAAAAGAAAAAAAAAAAGAAAAAGATAGAAAGAGAGAAGTGTAAGTAAAGTGAGATTCGCCTTTTCAAGAAGACGACCTGCAAACGAAACTTTCGTTCTATCGATAAACAAGTTTCGGCCTTTCTCCCGTGAGGTGAAGCAAGAGAGAAGGAGGAGGAGGAGTCAGTGCTAACTGACTAATGAAATGATCGTAGCACTCGTTCTTCTTCCTCGGAAAAACTTTTCAGTTCGTATTTTATCGTTCGTACTTTCAGTACGATGTTCTCACCTCTTTCTCTCTCTCTCTCTCTTTCTCACCCTCTTTTCTTTCTTCCTCTCATCGTCCTAAAACTGTAGAAGTCTTTCTTTCTCTCTCTACCATTCTTTCGTCGACAACGCGATAACAAGAACGATCTTTTTAAAGAATATCAGACGACATAGAATAAAAGAGTAAATTTACACTCAAGGAATTTATTATAAAAAAAAAAAAAAGAAACAAGAAAAAAAATAGCTTCGTGGCAACTATTCATTTTTAAACGATATACTTTTAATGAATTTTTTTAGGAGTTTTTACGATACATTTGTCATAGCTCTCTCTCTCACCCTCTCTTTCTCTTTCTATTTCTCTCCATCGATCTCTCCTCCTCGTCGGTTGCTTGCCAGCTTTTCACTATCTAGTATGAGAGATTCAAGTGAACCGAGAAACAAATAAACATATAGGTGTTGGTAAAGATAAAACACATAGATAGAAATACAAACGGTACACCAAGTTTCCGTCGACAAAACTCGTTCAATCCCTCAGTGGATTAAAAGGAAGAGACTTTGGTTGAGCGAGCTCTCGTTTAGGTACTTAAAAGTATTCCAACTACGAATATGCAGAACGAAAGTCCGAAGAATATTTCTCACTCTAGAACTAGAGCGGATTCGACCGGGTCTCCCAGAAATGTTAAAGGCATAAAGCATAGTAAACGATACCCATACAAAATGTCTATTTCGTTTCGACGGGGGTAGGGGACGGCACTGAGTTTATCGCGATTGACGATTCAATGTTACTGTACTTTTTTTCCCCCCGATAAAAATACAATACACATACCTATATATATACATATATATATATGCATATATGTTTATTTTTTAATAAAATTAAATTACATTTGAAAATAAATTTCAAGCTATGAAAGAATGAAATCCATGAGGAGGAGGGTCTTTGATCAGTATAGTGATGTAAAGTATAGAATACAAACTTTCAAATTTCGAATTTAAATTCCAACCAAACCTCTGCGGTCCAGTTTTTCGTACACCTTTAATATAGGTAGGTGTATGTATGTATATATATATATATAATAAATTTGAAAAATATATTGAAAAATATATGGATCTCGGCGATTTCTTTTGTTCGTGTCGTTGAATCGTCCGATCACAAGTAACCCTGTGTATATACGGGTATTATACGAGCGTTCAAGCTCTGCCGTCTCCCTCGCGTTATCCTTGCTCCACCTGCTGCCACCCAGACGTCCATTTGCATGCTTAACAACGTAATGTTTTCAGAGAAGAATGAAAAGTATGTGTGTTTCGCTACGCACACGATATACAGCCACGATCGCGATTTCTCTCATAGCCGCCATTGTAACGCTTTCCATTGGCCAATAAGCGGATTCGTTGCAATGCGCATACTACTATCCTTCTTTTTTTCTCTTGTCCAATATTTTTTTTTACTCTTCCTTTTATTTTTGTTCTCGTTCTCGTTCTCGTTCGAATCGACATTTTTCATTACTTTACGATCGTGACTGTGTTTTCGTGAACATACGAAAGAGGAGATCTTAATACGTATTACGAACAGATATTTTTTTTTCTCTTTGTAAATTTGCAATAGAAAAGAAATCATTTTAATTTAAAAGACACGAAAATTTCGAAGTTTTTCGTTGAAATTTTATTCCTGTAAGATGAAAATCTCCTCTATCGTTTATTTCAGGTTTACTTATATATAAATATAAGCATTAATATAAAGCAAATGTGTCACGTGTGTTGCTATGGACCTATCATTTTCCTCTCGTCGATATCCAGGATGTAAAAAATGGGAAGATTTATCTACGAATTTTCGTGTACGCATTTAACCGTTTCTATTTTGTCCATTTTGTTCTTTCTCCCTATTACTTGATCATAGCAGAACACCTTAACATCACTAATAACATAATCGTACAGAAAATGATTTTACAATAAAACATTTCGTTTGTTTTTTGTCGAGAACATTTTAGGCGTATCAATTTAAATATATTCGCGAATTGCCAAGAATTTCAGAATATTCAACGACATTAGAAACGCGTGGTAATCGTGCGAATGACAAGTTTCTTACTTAAAACGTTGCGGCAGGAACATTCTATCTTATTCCAAGGTTCTCCTTCAAGCTTCTACTTGAGGAGGAGCTCTAGCTCTTCCTCATCTCCCTCACCAACAAACGAGTCTAGAAGATATATATATATGTATGTACATTTGTACGTATGTATGCATTACGGGACAACTCGGAATCTTATTGTTGGAAACAACGATCGTTTGTCGGTGAGAGAGAATCGTGCTGCTTATCCTACGATAATGCTAAGCGGTCCAAGTTTTGCCTACTACGACGTACTTTCGTGTCCGGGACGGTTAAATGCAACTCCTTTGCGAAAGTGTTACGCATATCCGCATTACATATCCCAGTTATATACGCACGTTCCAACTTGCCAACTTTAACAGCGTCCCTAGACTCCTTCTTAGCGAGTTAAAGATCCCACCCCCATATCCTGAAATAGAAGGTAATAAATTTTCAGTTAGAATTAATTTATGGGCAAAATTTTTCAACAAATAAATTGGTAGACGAGGATACAATTTTTTCGTGTCCCTTATCGGTATCGTAGAATCGTTCTTGTTTGTGTTACGTATAACAAACAACAATCATTTTTATTCCAATCGTGAAATATTCATAACGTCCAATTATTTTCCTGATTTCTCTGATAAAAAAAAGAAAAAAAGAAAAAAAAAGGTAATATTCTCGTTTCATATAATATATCATTTTAAATGCGACTGATAAATTTTCAACGTAATTGGTATACGCATATTTTTGCAGTATCACCACCCCTCTGTTGCCATTTCTTTCAAACAATCCAAATTAAAAATCATCGATAAACATTCGTACTACGGTGTACCATTGATGATTAAAATTGATACCATCCTTGGGTTACGTACATTTTCAGCGATACAAAATTCCATACATACATACGCATCGATAGCGAACGTATCGATAATTTTTCATATGTCAAATTAATTATTACACCGGGACGATTTTCTTTTTTATACATATTACGAAACATCGATGAGAAACTTGGAATAGAATAACTCGGTGATTTTAATCGAATCTCGCGGTTAAAAAATCCATGAAAAAGCTCGGTGCTGCATAGTCGACGCTGTTTTCGAATCACGACATTTCCGCGTGCAAAAGCAGTAGCCAACGAGGGCGCTTAATCCTTCGTAATAGCGGCCGTCCTAGAACGCGATAACGAATAGTACACGCTTACACTTAACACATATACACGTACACTCACGTGTGAGGCGCGCGCGCATATGTACACATGAATGTACAGACTTTGCACCTGCAAAGTGTTTCGTCGACGTCATTCGACGGTGACGATGCGTACTAGTCACTCTTACACTTAACTCCCTCGAAACATACGCCCTTACAAAAACACAGGGATGTTTGCGATCGTGAATTATAAAAAAGCTAATGTAAGTGAAAATCCTTTAGCAAAAGAGGGACAGGGGATAATCGCATTTTTTTCATACAAAATGTTACGATAAATCAAGAGAAATTTATCGATTTTCTTTTCCTTTTTTTTTTCTTTTTTTCTTTTCTTTTCAATCATTTTCGTTAACCACAAAAAACAATTCAAATCTGTATCGTATCATCGTTATGTTATAGACACACACACACACACACACATCTCCTAGATAAATATATTCAAATGTACCATTTAAAACAATATCCCGTTTGTTTTCTTGCTATATGAGATTTCCACAGGGACATTGTGAAAGTTCCATGGATATTTATGGCTACAGCTGAGACCATACATATATTACACGCACGTATGTGTTACTGGCGGCATTTGGGACTAAAATTCCTCGTCTGTCTTACCTTAAACACCACCTGTCATTTATGTTCTAAAAACTCTTGCAAAAATACTGCTCATTACTAACAACTTTTCTCTCCTCGTTTCGTTGATTGCGTTCTGAAGATTATTTATGACCGTGTTTCATGCTAACGCAATACTTACTCGCGAGTAATAAATACGCGCCGAAAATAAGCAATATAATAAAGAAATAGAAAATTACATTTGATTGAGTGCGAAAATGTTACATTTGATTCTCATTATCGGTTGTCAACCTCGCGCGAGAATAATGAATCCTGATGATCTTTTTTTGATATAACCTTCTTTTGATTAACGCGACGAATCGTAGGTGCAATCATCGTAATTCCTGCGCGGTGAATGTACGCAGTGAGATATTCGAGGAGGATCCTTGTCCTGGAACTGGAAAATACGTCGAGGTGCAGTACCATTGTCTAGGTTGGTTGAAATTCTATAAATTCTTTTTTTTACCTTCTTTTTTTTTTTTACGTGCGACAACGCGAAACAGCGTTCATCGAAACTCCATTAAAAATCTGACGCGAATCGATATGACGGTACGTTTGTGGGAAAAGTAAATTTTCCTCCCATTTTTCTTCCCCCTCTTTTTCCCATCTTTTTCACCTTGATATCGACTCGAAAAATGAAAAAGAAGAACAAAGAAACAAAAGGAGTCAAATAATGTATGGCAGCACACGTGACAAGCTTGTCGAATTCATTCTTTTTGTTAACTGTTGGCCCTTTTGACAAAAACCTCTTTAGGTGTAACGACCAACAAAACTGCAGCATCGTTGCATCGACCTCACAATTCGGTGATCCTTGTCCCAACACGCACAAATATCTCGAGGCACATTATCGTTGTGTCTCTGGTAAGTACAATTTTTCTATCGACAATATCCATCTCCCTAATTTGTATCCGTAAGAACTATACCACTTTATGTTCAAATTAAAAAGACTGAAGAAACGGAGTCCACTAGGGTCTTGAGTAGTTCGGTAATTTAAACCAGCGGTACGCAAACTGTAGGATTTTATATTTTTGAGGATCGAGTAAAAATTTGTCACGAAAATTTGGTCTACTTTTAAAATAAGAATAACACATAATACTATTACTATTATTATTATTATTATTTTTACATTTACCAATTTAATTGCACATGAAATAATGAAAGAAATTCGTGTGATTTTAGTCAAACAAAAGTGCTCACAAGTATAAACAGTTTGCGCACCACTGCACACAAAATACGGGTTTCGAGTTCAACATCCGGCCAGCCCACTCGTGGCCCATTTTTTGATCCAATCAACTCTTTGAATACACGAAACTTGTTTTTCACGATCGAATTGTTAACGAAACTTATCAAAGATTCAAATTTGTTATTAGTATGAAAAAAATTTGTAATAATCGCGATCAAGATGAAAAAAAATGTTAACATGAATCTATCATTTTTTATCGTCAATAAAGATAGAATAAGGTAAGCAAGGGTACTAAATCTAGATTGAGAAAGAGCTGTCCGGAAATACAGTTTGCTAACGAATATGTATTACGTGCTAACAGATCGTTTTTGTTGGTGTCAGACTTGTAGTGAACGTTTCCGCTGCAACCGCGGTGAAGAGACTCGGGTTGCACATGACGCAAGACACGCAAACAAATGGTACCAGTGAACCATCGCGTTAGAATAACATAAGTAACATTCTCTCCTCTCCAACCTGTTTTCTACGTTTTCTTCGACCAGGAAAATTCTACCACTCTATAAATTTACATTCCAAATCCAGATATCATCATATCCGTTTAATAGAAATTAACGTTGCTCTTAATGAAACGATTCGATCGTGATTACATTTTTTGTACAAATTAAATAGAAACTTAATCAGTTTAATCAATTAATCATTTTTAAATTGTTTCCTATTACTGCACGAATACAAGATTACTGCTAATGAAATTGATCAGTTTGTTACTGATAATTTTATATAGAATCGAGATTAAATAATATAACTACTAGACATATTTAAAAAAAAAAATTGATTAAAATATTTATAAGTCCTAATTTTTCCGTGGATCCTATATATCAATAATGTATACATGTACATATAAAATATATTTGCTTTCCTTATCTTCAATAAGTCTCGGAAATGTAAAAAATAATTTAAAAAAAAAGCATTTGTACAACGTTCTTTTGAAGTAAGTCAAAAAGATTTTCTATTTTCCTGTCTACTACGATCCGTTGGAATTATTTTTCTTCTTTAATTATATCAACTTGTTGATATTTGACAAACTTATAAACGGATGGGACAAAATTTACCTTGTAAATCTTTTTACGACGTCGTTTTCTTTCATTCACGAAGCTCTCTCACGGCTTCGTTTTCTTTTTCTTTTCTCGTTTCAACTGCAGACGTTAAAAGATATCCACGAAAATATTTTCAGCGACTACACCGACGACGACGTCTCGACCGAGTCCTCCGTGGTTCATAACTTCGCAACCGAGCGTTTGGAGCACGGCTAAGCCAACCGTGAGACCTCCCTCGAGGATTACGACACCGGCGGTTCAACAGCCACCGCAACCACCACCGGCACCATCTACACCAGCTTTGCCAATAACTACTCCACCAAGGTCAGTTTCCGATCCTTTACTCATTTCATTCTTCTTATCTCTTAATCTTAATCTTCATCTAATTTTCGTAGTAATTCTTACCCTTCATAACGGGTAGACGAATTTAAGCATATCCAACGTTAAAATGAACAACTTGATTTTTAGTCCAACCTCGACGAAGTCCTTCGACGAGATGGATATCATCAGAGAGGACAAAGATTCAATTCCTCCATCGAACGGTGTCGCAGCAAACGGTGCAGCGATTCCGCCAATCGCACCAGAAACAATGCAGCCCACAACTACATCAACATTTGCTCCATGGAGAACTAGTCGTAAACCAGCTGGTAAATAAATCAATTTTATATTTCCCTTTTTTTTTTTTTTCATTAACATCAAAATAAAAAACTTAAGTTCGCTAATCACGATTTTGATTTTTTATATTTTCAGTACCCAGCACTTATTATCCAGAGTCCAGTTCGAACGGACAATGGTATGATTACGGAAGACAAGCTTGTCCACCGGTAATAGCACGAAATCTTTCATGGAACGCGACTCGTGCTGGAGACGTTGCCGTCCAAAGTTGTCCAGGTGGTGCCAACGGCCTGGCTCGTTGGAGATGTCTCGCAAAAGGTGATTCCGCGATTTGGCATCGAGACACTCCAGATTTAAGCGAGTGCCGTTCTGTTTGGTTGACGTCCTTGGAAAATAGAGTGACTGATGGTGACGTCATTTTGGGTATCAGTCGAGAACTTTCACAAGTAACGAACAATAGCCGTGGTCTTTACGGTGGTGACATGATGATCACTACAAAGATCATAAAGAACATGGCTGAAAAAATGGCACAAGGTATTAGGACCTATCAGGATCCCAATCAAAGCGAAGTCAGTGTTACGGAGCTTTTGCAAGGTGTTGTAAGAACAGGTAGCAATCTTTTGAACGAAGCACAGATGGCTTCTTGGAAGGATCTCAGTCATCAGGAACAAATGAGAGTAGCGACCTCGTTGTTGATAGGTCTAGAAGAAAATGCATTTCTTTTGGCTGATACTTTGACACAAGAGAAGACGATTACTCACGATTGTAGAAATATACGTGAGTTATTTTCACAATTATTTAACAAATCTCTCTCTCTCTCTCATTTAATATTCATTCTTACACACTGAATTATTTTATTATTAATAATTTATGAACCTTTTATTTTGTTAATAGTGATGGAAGTTCGTGTATTGGACACACGCAACATCGGTAACGATCTCGAAGTCTTCCCAAATAACCTTGCAGAAGGAAGATGGACAGCATCCACAGCTCATGTCGAACTAACCCGAGGTGCACTTTTGGAAAACAGCGAAGCTGGGATCGTTCGATTGGTCTTCATGGCCTTTAATAGACTCGAAGAAATTCTTCAACCGCAAGCTGAATTACCGTCCGTCGTAACAAACGACGATTCGCAATCGTTACCGAAAAGGAACACGACTAGGTTATTGAACAGTAAGATTATTTCTGCTTCGCTAGGAAAAGGTCGACACATACAACTATCGGAACCAGTAAGGATATACTTCAGGCATTTGACATTGGAAAATGTCACCAATCCTACTTGCGTCTTTTGGGATTATATTTTGAGGTAAGCATTTACAGTTCAAAAATCATAAAAAAACAAACAATTAATGATAATCATTGAATGATCTTTTGTTCTTTCAGTGGTTGGTCAGAAGAAGGATGCCAAATAAAGAAAAGCAATGACACGCACACAGTATGCGAGTGCAACCACTTAACAAATTTTGCTGTTCTCATGGACGTTCATGCAGTTAGACTGGACATCGCTCATCAAGTCGCTTTACAAATCATCACGTATATAGGCTGCATCATATCTATCGTCTGTCTAGTTTTAGCGATACTTACTTTTCAATTGTTTCGTGGGCTTAAGGTATAATTGCAATAATCCTAAATATGATTGTATGAATGTTCTTATATCACTACCCAAACAATCACGATATCTTATTTGAAATGATTTCCTTTCTAGTCCGACAGAACAACAATACACAAGAACCTGTGCGTCTGTCTGCTAATAGCCGAAGTTTTGTTTATTTGCGGAATCGGACAAACGAATCAGAGGATCGTCTGTGGTATCGTTGCTGGTTTATTACACTTTTTTTTCCTATGTGCATTCGCCTGGATGTTCCTCGAAGGTATGTTCACAAGAAAACATTGAAATCAAAAGACTTGTCTATTAATTAGACCAATCGTATTAATTAGATTCCCTTGATTTTATATTTTTTCAACAGGATTTCAATTGTACGTTATGCTGATTGAAGTTTTCGAAGCAGAAAAGTCTAGACTCCGATGGTATTATCTAGTTGCTTACGGGGCACCGTTGCTGGTAGTTGCGATATCCTGTATAATCGATCCATTCAGTTACGGTACCGATCGATACTGTTGGCTTCGAGCGGACAACTACTTCATCTTCAGCTTTGTGGGACCCGTAATACTCGTAATCTTGGTAATTATGTAAAGCAAATTGAATGTTGCAATCGGTAGCTCGTTCTTGACGATTCCATCAGCGTGATACATATTCATTAAATGTCAATTAGAAATTAGGCTACTAAATTAAAAGCAAAAAAAGCTTTGTTTAAACTCTAATTTTACGATTAAATAACATTTTGTTTTTTTCTTTTTTGATAACAGGCAAATCTCGTATTCCTGTCGATGGCGATATACATGATGTGCCGACACGCAAATACGACGGTAGCCATGAAGAGTAAAGAACATTCACGTCTAGCTAGCGCAAGGTAAGCGCAAATTATTTTTGAGCTGTGTCCACTTATTTATCTATCGTACAACAAACGTATTGTACATACAATATAAAAAGAAAACCGTTGAGATTATATATCTGTCATTAACATGATCGAGATTATTAAATCCCCTCGTCGAGCGTAGAGTCGAAGTGTCTGTTTGGTGCTTTCGGTTCATATTCGCAAGCTTTCATTGCTTAAGGAGATCTCCCGATGCGAATCTCGTTGTCACGCATTATTCTTGCGGCCATGCTAAGTTTTTATTGGTTTTGGTTTGAGTTCTATGTTGGAATGACCGCAGATTTCGTTCGTTCGACACGCCATTGTATTGCTGCAAATCCTAAGTTTATACTTGTTCATGATATAAATATATTATATCCATGATATAATATATCTATACGTGTATATAGATATACATCGTATACATTACGTTTGACTACTTTTTTCTTCTTCAAATCACAAGATTGGTGTTAGGCTAGCATAAGCATTATCGTTTTAAAAACTGTACCAACGTAATTGTGATAATTAATTAATCGATCTCTCTTCCGCTCTTAACGTCTTGGAACGAATGACAAGTCTACTTGTAAAATTCGATAAAGCTGTTAAGAGATAATCTAAGAGAGATTAAATCAATGTGAAAGCGAAATAATAGAAGTTAATTGGGATAAGAAACGTTAAAACATTCAGACAAGCTTTTCATATAATAAATAAAAAGATTAAAAAAATTTCAACACATCGGTGATGGTATTGTAAAAATATCTTGCAAGCCCGATTCGAATTATTATAAACGACGACACATTTTTATTTTCTTTTTATCGTGCACATTTTGCTTCTTATGTTCATTACATTTAAATAATATATTCATGTTAAAAGAGCACTGCGAGATCCTCTTTCACGGTTCACACGATATATATATAAATATATACACATACGTAAATACTCGTCGTGATCAGTTTGACATTTATTTAAAGTCGATTGAATTTAGTAATACGAATCGAGCATTGATGATAATAATGATGATGATGAAAGAAATTTTGTTTAATTTTAATCAATCGATATCAATGGTGCCGGAACAATCACCTAACTGCTGTCTTGTTTCATTTTTTTGTATTAAATCTTCTACCCACTTCTGTCTACACTGTTCTACATTCTTCTGCATGGCGTGGTTGGTTGGTAGTGGAAAGGAAGAGAATGCTCTTCCCAACAAATTGCAAGCGCACTTGTAAGATATTTACCATTTTTATTATTACTCACTTTTCTTATTATTAACGTTATTACTAACAGTCCCCTATTTTACCCTGGAACCCATTCATTATTCCTTCAGCCTGTTTTTAACTTTACTTAACGAATTCATTTTCTGGTTTTATGTCAGTTTTTAAAAGTAATCGATTCTTCATTTATTATCTCAACTAATTAAACGAAATCATTTAATTGTGTGATAGTATAGTCTTAGTTAGACGGCACACCAAAAATTACTATATATCGTAAAGTTCATTAGAATAACGACCCTCATGACTTGTTTGAAAAGCAAAAACAAAGTCCTTATTCTTTATGCAAAGTCAAAAGTCAAAATGATAGGTATCATCTTAGAATCGAAACGATGCATCTCACCTTTCCTTCGAATGCACACGATAATCCTCCACATGCATGTTGTATTTCTTCTTTAGTTAGTTTAAAGTATCACGCCTGATTTGAAAGTAGATATAAACGTGAACTTCGACTAAGTATATTATTATCTATCTCTTTTAATTATCTTCTCGGCCTTCTTGTGTAGTTATACGCTCTTTTCGTGAATGTTTAGAAACGAATACGATGTGTCGATGAAACTCTAAGAGATTCGATACGGTTCGATTCTGCGAATGAATAACGTTGCGTTAAATACGATATTATATATTCTAATTAAAAATCATGATATTTTGTTCATTGTCGAACAATGCCCGATATATAAACGCAACGATCGAGTTCGTCGAACGAACCGTCGACACTTTCGCAATTTTTATCTTTCTTTTAAAGATCGGCATTGCAAAAAAAAAAAAAAAAGATTATAATTCATTGTAGAATAATTATTCGACAAAATAACTTATTTGTTTTGTTTCTCATCAGAGCTTGGTTACGAGGTGCCATCGTCCTAGTATTTCTACTAGGATTAACTTGGACTTTTGGACTACTCTACTTGAATCAAGAATCAGTGGTAATGGCGTACATCTTTACTGTACTTAACAGTCTTCAAGGCCTGTTCATCTTCGTGTTCCACTGCGTTCAAAATGAAAAGGTAAGTGAATATAAAACTAAATATATCTTTTCATTCCTGGCAATACTTTGTTTTATGATTCATTGTATGAAACTAAAGATGAACAAATTTTAATAAAATTCTACGATATATAACACTTTCGCTCACGAAACCAACAAATAATATTGAATAATTGAAAAAAAAACAGAAAATCCTGTAGCTAATCACAGATAAGGTCAGACTTTAACTTTGCAAGTAAAATTTTGAGCAAAGAACGTGTAAAGAACTATAGATTTGCTATTGCAGGTAAGAAAGGAGTACAGAAAGTTCATCAGAAGACACTCGTGGCTACCAAAGTGTTTGAGATGTTCGAAGACAGTAACGGGAAGTTCCGGGTCGTCCGGTACGAGTGGTGGTGGAGTCGGGCCTGGTGGAAACGGTGGAAAAGAATTTGCCTCGCATAACACATCGTCGAATCCATCGGCACCAACAACGGACAGCTCAGGACTATCGCCTCATGCCGCCTCTAACGTGGGTACCACAACATCACCGCCGAACAATCACAACAATCTGACTGCGGCCTGTAACAATACGAATCTTTCGATAAACGTGAACCTGAACAATTTGTCGCTGAGGTCGCCGGTCGGGGCACACCAGATGCACATGATGGCACCTAGCAACCACAATAGGCATCCCACTCAGCAAGGTATCCAAACGCCGCTTATACACCAAACCGAGAAGCAAGATAAAAAATAGTTTGCAATTCGATGAAGAATTCCATCTAAATGGGTGGATTGATCAAATGATCGATCTCTCCCCCTGTTCTCTCTCTCTCTCTTCTCTCATTCTCTCACTCATTCACTCATTCATTTACTCATTCACTTACTCACTACTCACTCTTGCCCTCTTTTTCTCTCTCTCTATCTTTCTCTATCTCTCACTCATTTCTATTCGCTCACAATTCACTTATTCACTCACTCGCTAACTCGTTCTTCACTCATTGGCTAATTGTCGCTCCGTGCACATCTCATTTTCGCTTCTTCCTGCCAGTATTTATCTCTCGTACTAATCGATTGCTAGCTGATCAACTTGCTCTCGCTTTTTTCATCGCGCACTTCACCCGCTGAGAGAGAGAGAAAGAAAAGATAGTAAAAAAAGGCAAATAAGTATCTCTTGAACTTCGTTGCACTTTCAACTCTAAATGATGTCCTTCGATAATTCTCTCTTCTGATGTGTTTATACTTTCTTCGTGAACAAACAAATTCTTCCTTAATTCGTAATAACATCTTGTCTAGTATCTCTCTCTTTCTATCTTCTTATCTGTACAGAATATCTCTCATCATAACATCTTCATTTAGTTTTCCTGTAGCTCAATCGATTTTCACAACATTTTCGTATTACTCGTTCGATCTTAGCGCGAGAAAGTCGCGTCATGTTTTTTCTTCTTTTTCTTTTATTTTTCTTTTTTTTTTTATTTTCTGATTAAATACATTGGCCAAGTCTGTTGCAGGACGCGTTGTCGTTGAGTGGTTAACTCTCGGTCTCCTCCTTCCTCTAATCGAGATTCTCTTCTCGATTTACTATACGTAATTTTCGTACGTGCCACGTAACTCTAAATTATCCTATTCGAACTCTCTCGTACGCTTGTTCATTCTCAAGCCACTACTTTGGTTATCATAGACAAAGTATCATCGAGAGTTGGATATGCAATAGAGACAAAAAAAAGTAAACAAGAGATAAAGAGAAAGAGAGAAAACGTAGGAACTAACAAAGTGGTTTAGAAAGTGAAAAAGGGAGAAAAAAATTAGAAAAAAAAAAGAAAAAAAAGTAATATCACATGGAATATCGAAGGAACAAGGCAAACGAAAGTCAGAAAACGTGCTCGCCTATCGACTCTCTCGAATACGTGTACTCTTTAACACGTACCAATGATATACTCGAAAATTACATTTATCAATAAGTAGAAGCAGCAACGTTGAATATTCAAAGTTCTTATATATGTACTGTCGGAAGATAAATCCTGAAATAAATAGATACTCAATAATTTCGGTTAACGGAAATCAACTGGATAGATAAATCCGATGGTAACGAAAGAGAGAAAAACGGAGAGAAAAACGGAGAGAAAGAAAAAGCGAGAACATTCACGGACTTGACTTTGCAGAGCTGTAAACACGCAAACGTACTATTTGCAAGGCCTTCTACTTACTAACAGTGGTGATTTTCGTGCTTCTTATCTGGCTCGGGGTTTGGTGTAACGCGGTTGCTGGTTACTTTGCCTCCTTTTCCAACCTACCAAGTCCCTCTTTGCCTCGTCCTCTCAAGAACAGAACAAGCCCGTACCTCTATATGCAACCCTGCCTGACAAAGCGTGCGCTCGCACGCGATTTGTCATTTATTTCAGACGCTTCGGCTCTCTCTCTCACGGAGGGGCTCCAACAGCAACAAAGGAATTTGAAAGCGTACACGTTCGTCTAAACGTCACGCGTATCTCTTTACCTGATTTACGCTCGTACATCCTCGCGGCGATTTAGCGCTTTAGCTTTACTCGTTTGACCTATTTACGACGCGTCGTGTCGTATCGCGTCGTGTTGTGTCGTTATTGTCCTTCAAATTTTCACCTTCCATTACAGTTATATTTATAAATTAACAAAAAAAACAAAAAAGAAAAAAAAAAAAGAAACGTTTTCAAAAATTTGATACTTAATTTTGGTAATAAGAATGACTATAGAACGTTCCTTCTACTATTCGTCCGCACGAAGAGTATAAATAAAAGATTAACAGTAATTGTCCCTTATCATATTCTCACTTTGATATCTACGAAAGGTGTTGTACTACGTGCTCACCTTTCACGCACGCTTTACATCCTTGTGTCACGCATCATCGAAATAGATTAACTCGAATAATCAAAACGAACAAAATATTCCCTTTTCACCTGACTCAAACGAGATTGATTTTTTTTTCTTTTCTTTTCTATTCGTGCTAACGAACAGTTTTAATTTAGACTTAAAATTTTTAGAAAGTATATATACTATATATATATATATATATACATATGTTCCTTAAATTCTTTACTTAACTAAACTATCCCTTTTTAATATAATTTCACTCTGATTAATTTGTTTTTTAAGCTCTCCGAATCAAATAAATCTAACACGTGATTTTTTTTTTTTTTAAATGATTTTGATGAACTATCAACAAAATCCAATAATAAGCCTTTTTTTTGTTTTTCTTTTTTGTATCGGTATATTTTGATTAAGTAAGTAAGAGCTCATGCGCGTTTTGGAAAGATTCGTAATGTTCGAAAGGGTAGAGGAGACACGCGATATCAAGATTATCGAAGAGTAGGACGGAAGGAAAGTCATAAGGTGGTTCCTCTTCGTTTTCTGCCAGCACAGCGATAGAGTTGAGCCGAGTCGACGATGCTGCTGCTTTCCTTCGTAAAAATCGATCGATCTTTACGACGCGATAACCTTGACGAACGGTTTCCGTAATCCGCTCGGCCGCCGTTCAGATAAACCCAGAACGCATTACGTTTTCTAACGTATGTCCGCTTCCCTTCCAACGAGCTACTCTCTCGCCCTCAGTTCGATTTATGGAGGACGAAGACGCGATCAGACTTTGCCTTTGCTTTTAGGTCGCGTGCGCGCGCTCGTTTCGCACAATCGATCGATAACCACGATTATAAACGAAAAAAACAACAGCATCAACTACGACCGAATAGAAAATTAAAACAAAAAAAGAAAAAAAAAAAAAGAGAATTATATTCTTTCGATATGCGTTTCTCTCATCGATCGTTTGACGCTAATCTGCCTGATATCTTTTGCCTAATTTAGATGCAAACGCGCGTTTGAGCACTTTAATTTTTGGCTTTCCGCGAAAGGAAAATAAATATCGATGCATCGTTTAAAAATGTTTTCACAATGAACGTCAACCCTTTCAATTTCGTATTTACTATAATATATATATATATGTATTATGTAACGTATGATTTTTCATATCAAAAATTGTAGTAAGGTAAGTTGTATAAAAGGAAAAAAAAGAAAAAATATAACGATATTAGGGAGTCGAAATCGTATTAAGATAAATAGAAACATAAGCTTTTTTGCTTGGTGCAACTGAAAGAACGAGTTATACGTTATTGTTCGGTAAAAAGGCAAGAAAAAACAATAACGACGGCAGCTCTAGAACATAGATTTGCGCGCAATAAGCACAACGCATAATTTCCGTTATAATTTTTGCTATTATATTGCCGATTATTGATTTATCTCACTAAAGCGTTTATTATTCCTTCCTCGACGTAAAGCACAAAATTTTGGAATGGCCGCGGATCAGGTGGTTCACGTAATGATCTCCGAGGTATCCGGTTTCCAATGTTATCGAATGGAAAAGTAAACGTTTTTTTTAATAATCGACTGCCGATTTTATATTCTTCGTCCAAGGAAGGTCTTAATATATTTTCAAGGGACTGACTACCTTTGGAGATCCTACGATCCTTCGTTTACCTCACTGACTTCCTTATAAAAAAGGTTTCGCAGATTAAAACATATATATATATTCTACATATAAAAATATAATACAAATTTATATACATAATTTAATATTTTACACAGTACACGTGCCAATAATTATGACGGTGGACAAAGTCAACAAATTTATATTTTATAATATATACAATTGTATATAAAATAAATCAATTTTTGTAGACTTAATCCGTTGTCATAATTAACGATACATATTTAAAGTGTATACAAAAAATTTGACATGGTATACATAAAACAAACACACGTGGATACATTTCTTTTCTTTATTTATCTTACGCATTATGAAAAAAAGAGCAAAAATAAAATGGAGGTAAACGGAGGATTTAAAAGCCACGACCAATGCTTGATTTTCCAGTACTTGGTATCCGGTCGAAGCTGGGCGATAGTTGATAGGCAGCCGGCAGTCGCTGTGCCAAGTGAATCCTCTGGCACAGAGGCTCACATCGTGGCAACCCTGCCGTACGCCCGTCACGCATTCTTACCCTCAGCTCCTAATATCCCCAAATCTGCCACCGCCACTTGGGGCCACCTTAACAAAAACCTCATGTGGAAGGTAACTAACTCGGCGGCTAGCTCGCAAGCGCTATTTAACGCTAATCTCTCGTCGCTACTCTTAATCGCTACTTTTTTTCGCACAAAAAAGACACACACACACATCTTCATTATTTTCTTTCTTCCTTTAAATATTTTCTTTATTTTCCATCTCGACATAATATGTAAATAATATATATTAATAAACTTGATTGCGCTGTCCTACAATAAAGAATATTTACTATCAATAATTTTCAATGCACAAATGCAATTTTTTTGTATAGAAGTTTCGTTGAAAGATAGTATACGTCTCTTTTGTCTTATTTTGTAAGAGTTAGAAATAAATTCAACGTAGGACGCGCAGTCGATGCTTGTTTTTTCTTTTTTTTCTTTTCTCTTTAGCCTTTACTTAAGATCACCAAACTGTCTCTAACTTTTAGCTAGATCGCCCTCTCGTGCATGGTGTGTGCTTCTCTCGTTTAATTATCACTAAACGGCACGATGTTAAACGCGAATTAAAAGCCTCGATCGTCGTTGATATTTCTTTTCTTTTCTTTTCTTTTTATTTTATCATTGCTGAGTTAAATAAGATTAATGACGAGTTTTAACTACGCACTCAATTGACTCGAAAATGTGTGAACAATTTTGTTCTCGGCTTTTGCCCCCTCCCCCTTAACAACACAGTGCATGCGCAGCCACGACCGTTTCCCTCGACTCGCGACATCCAAATTCAAAATTGCCGTGTTTTATTCTATTGGCGAATTTATAATACCGCCATATATCATTGAAAGACAAAATAAACGGCACGTTCGTTTGACACAATCCCTTTAGAAAGCAAAATCATTTCGAATCTAATTTAAGAAAAATATCTAATATATCAACTTCTATTCCACCCACAGAACATTTCTTTTAAATCGTACTCCCGGGACTCTGGACACGGTGGATCCGAACAAGAAGACTCACCGAGGACGCATAACACTTTAACTCTAGGCCATTCGGGTCGCAATCGAGATCGAGATCGAAACCGTATCGTCGGCTCGAGCGATGGCAGCGAGATGATGGGTGGCAATGGAAGGACAGCTACGACAACGGCTACGACATCAGTGGGAACTGGGCGACGTGCTGCCATGCCATATAATCATACTTATACGGAAATCGTAGATGGTAGAAATGGTGGAAGTAACATGCATCACCAGATGCATGCTCATCACGGCCAACATGTACACCTACCAACGCATCGCGGAGTTGGCAGCGTTGGTGGAATAACCAACGAAGATGATCCTGTTTACGAAGAAATCGAACGAGGCGGCGCAGGTGGAGCTGCCGGTGAGATCCAAGTGTCAGACATGTCTGATGAGGATGGTCGAAGACAAAGCGACATGAGCAGACAATCTTCGAGAAGCTACGGTGATCATAGGCCGCTTATTCCATATTCACCTGCTAATGATCGCAACCTGCTCCATTATGGACAAACAATGAGCAGCGATCGTGTTGGTAACACTCATTACGATCCAACGGAATACGGTCCAACCGTTGAAAGAACCTTAAATGCCTGCTGGGAAAAACTACGAAGGCAGCAAGCAAGGTACGAGCTCGGTGAACTGCCACGACTTCCTGCAGGCTATGGACTGCCACCTCAACAGGATCACACGAGAACCGTCGCCGTTCTCGACGGCCACACCGTCGTCTGTCATCTTCAACCCCAAACGGACATGTATACGGGACGCGGCATGCCACCGCCGTCCTACAGCGAGTGTTAGGTCAAAGTTGGATCGTCTCGTCCTCCGCCTCGTCCACCATCCCCACGTTTTCGGGTAGAACTCTGCTCCTTTCGTAGGACTTACCCTTCGACTTCGATCTCTCTCTGATTTCACTGTAACGTCAGTATAAACGTCTCTCTCTCTTTCTCTACTTTATTCTTTCATTTTCAATTTCACTCTAACTCTCCCCCAAATTTGTCGGGAAGGAAGATTTTCTCTTGATAAAATAGGGATATTTCTTACCTGTGAATTAAAACAATTAAAATGGGAAGAGAGAGACGAACGAAAGGTTAAATTTCGGAGAAAAATCGTGAAAACGAGAAGGGAGACGATGACGGTCCTTCCAAGAAGAAACACGAAAGTCTAGAAAACGACGTTACTTCGCTTTTTTTTAGCGTGTTTATAAGCACATGAGTCGATCGGCGATACTTAACGCGATGTTCGCGTATAAAACTTCAATAAACGATCGACACTCTGCGCCGAAAGATTCCTTCCTTGCTCTTCGCGTATTAATCACGATATGTGTGTGATCCTTGCGAATAAAATATAAATGAAACAAAAAAAATAATAATTATTGTGTGTAGGAAGCGAGACGATCGTGTCGACGATGCGTCGGCGATACGTTTTCCTTTTTTTTTTTTCTGTTTTTTTTTTTATTCTTTCTCTTTTGTAAAATAGACATATCGCGACACATACTCCTCGTCCACGAGCTAAAACATTTTGTAAGTCATTGTTTTTGTTTTTAAATAATCACCCTGTTCTTTCTTTTCTTTCGTTCCTTTGTGTATAATATATAGAACTCTCGTTGAACGGATAGCTTAGGATAGTGACATATCGGATATTTTAGAAATTGTGGAATGTGATTGCATCGATCGCATTTGAAAATTGCCCTACTAATGTTAGAAGAGCAACTGCCTGTGGGCAGAAAGAAAAAAGAGGAAAAGAGAGAGATAGAGAGAGAGTTTGGGGGAAGAGCTTTTGAACAGACCGAATTCTCGATCGCGACGCGTCAAAATTTTCTCATAGAAATAATCATGCGCGCATTTTTTTTTTAACCATTTCCTTTGTCCGCACTCTACTACGTGCATATTTTTTTAATTCGAATGCTTTGACTTAATTTTTGTTTTAATAGAAGACCAAGAAAATATTCAATTCACTTTTTTTTTTGTTTTTTTTTTTTTGTCATTTTCCGAATAAATCGTTGAACTCTTACAAGAACGTTTTACTTGATGATATAAGGAAATAAAATTTCCTAATAATAAATATTAATTATCGATTCGAAATAAAAATGAAATCGTAACTTTACAGTCGTAAATAAATAAATAAGTAAGTAAGTAAATAAATAAGTAAGTACCTTTGTCGGTCGTCCCAACCACAACTCCTCATTGTACATTGCTTTTGAAATGTTACGTTTTAGTCCCAGAATGTTATTTTTATAAATAAAAAAAGGTATATATATATACATATATATATATATGTATATGTATGTATATGTATGTATACAGTAACATGATGTTCTTGAACGAAAAGAAAAGAAAGGACACACGGGGATGGTTGCGTATACGTGCGTGCGTGCATGCATGCGTGCATGTATGATGTATGTATGTATGTATGGAAGTATATAAGCGTGTGCGAATAAGTATGTATATGTGTATGTTTGCGTTTGCGTACTATCGAACAAAAAGGGACAGATAGTTACGCGTGTATGTGATGATGTAGGCGATATAAAAGCCAATTTTCCAAGCGAATGGAAAAATCGCTAATGAAAACTTAGTCACTGTTTTTTACTATTTTTTAAAGGAAACTTAAGTGTCGTAATAAAAAAAAAAAACGTGTTAATAATACGTGTAAAAAAAGGAAAAAAAGAAAAAAGGAAAAAAAATCTATGGGACGATGCAGATCATCTTCTTGTACGTACGTGTTACGTACGTACGTGCGCGCGAGGACACGCTATTTATTTTTATCACCGCTCGTAATAAAAACATTTCTCGGTTAGGAATATGCGCGACAAAGCCGACGCAGGATCGTCGACCGACGATCGGAAGATCCTGACTATTTCTTTCTCTCGTGATATTAGAAACAAGCAGGTCTCGTCGAGTTCCTCTTTTCTTCCTATCGTCGAGTCGCGAGGAGGACAAAACTTCTACTGCTGCCATTTTTTGCGATCGACGCGGAATAAAGCGTCGATAAAGATAATTATTCGAGACGAGTATCGAACGCACGCGAACTATATTAATAATGATGATAATAATAATGACGCGATAATGATGATTGTAATAATAATAATATTAATAATAATAATAATAATAATAATAATAATAATATTAATAATAATAATAATAATAATAATTATAATAATAATAATTATAATAATAATAATTATAATAATAATAATAATGAATATGTCTAATCGATCGATGCTCGCCTCGGAAATAATACGGATAGCATCGCCGTCGCCATGGCTTTATTTATTTCTCGCTCGATCGGCCGTTCGTCAAGAAAAAATTGAAAAAATATAATAAAATAAGAAAATAAAGAAGAAGAAGAAGAAGAAAAGGAAAAAGAAAAAGAAGAGGAAGACGACGACGATGAAAAGGAGAACGCGTTAAAAAGAAGAAAAATTGGCGTAAAAGCGATTAGTCGCGTTTAAGGGTACCACAGATGTGTTGTATTTAAAAAGTAAAAAAAAAAGTTTAACGAATGATCGAGTGTGTATGAGATGCGTTTGTGTGCGTGCGTCTATCTGTCTGTCTGCCTGTGTATAAGCAATGTATGCTGTCAAAGAACAAAACGAGGAATATGTGCGAGCGTACGTTTCTATCCCTTTTAATATTTCGAATGTTTGTTTTGGAAGTATATGAAGAGAAAGAGAGAGAGAGGAGAGAGAAAGAAAGAGAGAGAAAAAAATAGAAAGGGAGAGAAATATCTTGGAAATCGATCGATTCGTCTTGTCTTTTTATATTGTAATACAATTCGACGGCATCGATGACAGCAATATAATCTTGCTGCCTCATTACGATTACGGATGATAGATTATTAAAGGGAAGCCATTATCGATTCTATAAGAATCGCTACATTTTTATAGTAATTAAGAAGGCGCGGCCCCCCCCCTTATACGTAATTCTTGTATCTTATTTTGTTTTTGAATTTCAAACGAAATTTACTCAATGGATGATTCGACGTTTATGGTCTATAGACGCAACTAACTTTTTACGTCAAACAATTCTTCTCTTTAATTGTTCGCTCATTGTTAATGTTTCTTTTTCGAAAATTTTGAAAACTTTCTTTCTGTCGATAAAGATAATAGAAAAAAAAGGAAAGAAACGAAGATACGTGTTTTCAAATTTACTACAATATGTATTATTCGATGTAAGAAGTAAGATGTGACTATGGGCCCGACAGATCGCAAAGCATGAAAATGAAAAACTAGTTATAATTTTCTACGATCGAACCATATAGATCTTATCGACGTAATAATAACATATTGCCAGATAATCGTTAAGGCACCCACATTCCATCCGTTAACGTATCGTAAATCGAAAACCGAGGTGATATGAATGCAGCAAAAAGAAACAAAGAAAAAGAGAGAGAGAGATAGATAGAAAAAAAGAAAGAGAGAGAGAGAGAGAGGGGTAGGGCACCAGCCTATGAAGACGAGCCAAGGAAATAAGCAAGGATTTCATCATTCGAAAAAACGTAATAATCCTTCGTTCTCTTCTGGCGATGTCGACAATCTCTTCTGAAAGAAATTTTCGGTTAACGTGGCCAAGTCGAGAGTGTGTGCATGCGAATAAAAAAAGATAAAGGTAAAGATAATGATAAAGAAAAAAGAAAAAGACGCGCGGACGTTTTATTATTATTAATCGTCGACGAAAGATAACTCTCAAAAGCGTTGTAAATAATGTATATAAGGCTTTGTACATGTTGAATACTTCTAATGTAAATGGAAAAAGAGAAAAAAGTGAGAGATTAACGGCGCACCATAAAGATTAATGTGAACAAAAGTAAAGTAAATAAGCGAATTAATTAATAAGTAGTAAACCAATCCTAAATACTATCGTTGTGACGGCGAAGAGAGCGTAAGAAGAGCGTTTAACTTAAGTCCCAAGCGTAAATTAGTTAATATGTAAATAAATTAAACGAGGAAGTAAAATATTAAATGAGACAAAAACCTCAAATAATCATTGGATATTTATAATAAATGAATCCATTAAAAGAAAAATGTGAGAGAAAGAAAGATAGAGAGAAAAAGAATTAAAACAGGAAAAAATAAAAAACAAATGTTACGTAGGTTTCGACGAAAGGAAAGGGAAAATGGATATTTACGAGTGATTCGTATTGTGAACGTGTATTTAAATCGTTAATGAACAAGAAAAAACAAAGAAAAGGGAATGAAAAAAGGAATAACGTTAATAGGATGAACACAGATATACGAGCAATGCATGTTCGATTCGCAGCTATTTTATAAAGTATATTCCATTGTTCGACTCCTTTCTCCTACGTCTCCGCTCTGCTTTCCTACCTCCTCTTTTCCCCGTCCATCCTATTTTCCGCGATCAAACGAAGATAATTAAAATAATCCTCTCTTCGATCCCCGATCGTTATAATCTTATATTCGTGCCGCATTATCCGAACGTTCTTTTAATCCTAAAACACTTTTGCTTTCATCCCAGCATCCCTTTTTATTACAAGAAGACAAAATAAAAATTTAACTAAGGAAAAAAGTCCATGTTCAAAATAATGATTATACAAAATGGCCATAACAATGCAAACAAAGTTAAAAGACACCAAGCGAGAATATTTTGTAAAAAAAAAAAGCGTTACATACATACACTTTCTTTGGAATAATCATAATAGTTATTATATGTATATGTATATCCAAAGACCGGAGCCATCGTCATGATAAAACATGCTATTCGAGAGCCGAGGGACAAAATTCTCGATTTAGGTCGACTTTTTCTGTGATCTTTATCCTTTTATTTGTTTTACAATTATCTTTCCTCCATAAATTCATTTAATTATCGCGAACCGCCAAGATCTTTCCGCCATTGCCTGCCTGCGCGCATTAGGAACGCAGAAAAGACAAGATTGTAAAACTTAGGTATTTCCAAATCGGATAAGAAATCTCCGTTTCTTGATTTTGTATTGCTTCTTTAAGACTGTCCGATGATACAGAGAAAAAGGATAAATAAATGTGTACCAATCTCTGAAGAAAAATCATTCATCCTTATCTTTAATTTTAATCCTAATTTCGATGACCAATTGTAGTAATGTAAAGGAAATAAGGTTTAGAAATAATCATTAAAAATCTGTGGTTTAAATCGGTGTCCATTTTCTAAAAAAGATAATAATTATCTCTCAGCTCCATATTTTATTAACAAGTCGATCGCGTCCGTTTGTTTACTTCGACGAGCTGCGATCAAAGGTGTGACATCAAAAAATGCTTTCTCGTGTACATCAATTAGATTATTCATTAAAATATATTCCAGCATTACCACATTTCCTATTAAGGAAGCTATATGTAGGATTGTTTGACCGACCTTATCAACGGCGCGAAAATCCGCACCCAATCGTATCAAACGCTTTAGTATGTTTAAATTCCCGCCCTTAACAGCTTCGTGAAGAGGCGTAGCACCTGATGAATCACGTGCATTTACAAGACCCGGATCCGCAGTTGAGAGCAAATCGATTATCTCCTCGTGTCCGTTGAAAGCTATAAAAGTTGAAAATACCGTAGAAGAAACCATGGATTTAAAATCGTGCCTGAAACGTATACTTAAATTTACAAACTCGTCAAAGAAGTAAAAAAAAAAAAAAGATATTTAATTCGAATTTTTTATCTTAACTGTAAAAAGATTTTTATTTTTATAATTACCAGCTATATGAAGAGTACTACGACCGTTGTTACTTCGAAGAGCTATACTTGCAGGAGCGTAATCCAAAAATAAACTAAGTGCATTAACGTCACCAGAACGACAAACTATAAATGCAGGTATCCAACCGTCTTTGTTCCTTCTCAAAGGATTTGCCTTTGCTTCAAGTAATATCCTGATGCACTTGCACGCCTCGCTACCAATCTTCGTGCACGCTAACATCAGTGGTGTCCAATCGGCACGCTTCAAACAGTCGATGGTTGCACCTGAAAGGAAAAGAAAGAAGTCATTATGAAAAATAAATAATAAACAAAAGAAGAAAAAAATAACAAAGACATAAGGGGGGAAAATATAGATTGTAATAGTTATCATAATCCGTTTAGGAAAAGAAATAAATTTTGTGAGATATATGTATATATAAAAATGAAAGGAGAAAGTTTAAGAGCAGCTCGCTTTGGAAAGCACCTTTTTCTATTAAGTAACGTAGAACGTGGATACGCGAGAATTGTGCTGCTTCGTGCAGCGGCCTTTTCATATCTTTGTTAACGACGTTGACTTTAAAGTCAACAGGTCTTTCGAAAGAGTCGCACAAATACTCGACTACGTTCAGATGACCTTCGCGCGCTGCAACGTGCATAGGAGTGTCACCGGAAACCACATGCCGAAAAATCGTCCAATCCTGTACGTCGTACTTTAAAGTAAGATTTTGGATTTTTGACAAATCTCCGCATTGACAGGCATGTAAATAATCACGGGATAGGTTAGGTACTACCATTCCCTTTGACATTTCCAATGCACTCCTTTTTATTTATTAAAGTGCGCGCGATTTCCTTTCGATTCTCGAGAAACAATCGCAAATGGAACGACTTGAGACTATTGTGAATTTATCGTTAGATCAATGATACGATTCAGTAGAGATACTTTCGATATCTCCAGATATCACGAAACGCATCATTAAGGTAGCGGTAAATGCTGCCATCTAGCAATGACGCTCCTTTCTTTTGTAACTAAAAATAAGCGCGAAATTTCGAACGTTCGTCCGGTGATCGTATAAGTGAAATTTGAAAGAACACGTTAGTAAAGAATATATTCTTTTAATTAAAATTGCACTTCACATATATAGGGATTTCATGTAAACGCTTTGTTTTGAAGTTAATTAATAACTTCACTTTTTAACGCTATATCTCTGCACCCATGTATTATGTCGGCTGTATGAAACAATGCGATTAATTTTCTGCCAATTAAGTATTTCCGGGCAACGCTTGCATAATCGTCTATACAATTGAAAAAAGATGATTCGCGAGAAAATTACTTGCGTTAAAATTCAAGGTTCGATCAAAACTTAATGCTATGTAACTCCTCGTCGCCGTTTTGACATAATCGTCGTTGCATCGTTCTATCTCTGTTGCTTTATCGCTTGTATTGTTTCAACGAAACAATCCTGAAATTTATCCGATTAATAGCAAGTAAATTCTCGGTAATAGTACTTCGTAGTATCTTAAAACATATATACACTAATTCACATATATTCGATCTTAAGTTAAATTATCTAATTAGAAAAAAAATAAGAAATTTTATTGGAATATTAATATTAACAAGATTTCTCTATCCTGATTACATAAATATTTCTTCCGTTTTTTTTTTCACTTCTCTTTAAAATCACTCTCTCCAATCCGATCGTAGAGCCATCCATGATCCGTTCTCTTTGTTACAATACTTTTACCATTCTAAATAACGGTGTCAACGATTTTCGAAACGGAACAAAGTTGAGCGAAGAGTTCCGTGCGAGCTCGTACGAAATACGATACGAAGTTTTCGATGTCAGTATTCTACAAGTATGATTTCAACGCTATCACAATTCTAGGGGAGGAAAGGGGACAGTACGCCGATAATGTTTACTTTCACATCCTCGACAAGACCTTCATTGTCTTTATGTAAGCAGGAAGGTGTGCTATCGTCGTAACGACGTCGACTTCGGCGTCGGCGACGATCGTCGACCGGATTTACGCGCGAATTTAATAGTACGTGATCGTCGCTTCGATAACTACAATTTGACCGTACAATAGATACTTCATAATTGCCAACGATCTCCTGGCGCCAGTTTCACTTATCAAGAAATTATCACGTCGCGTATTTTCGTCATTAAAATTTGTTATCCTCGAAATTTCCAATGAAATTTGTCGAATCAAAAATCGACTCATCTTTTTTCCACGTTCGTTGTTATTATAAGGAAAAACGAGCGGTAAGAATTACATTACATTCTCTTTTCAAGTACATCATCGCAAAAGGTACGACGATGAGCATACTTAACGAGGCCGCATCTTCTTTCGCACTTTTTCGAACCGTGATAGATTCTACAGACGCGGCGGGACTCGTCTATATCGATTTCGAAGAAGAAGAAGAAGAAGAAGAAAAAGAAGTCAAAAAAGGAACGAATCCGATCCTTTTCCACGTAGTTCGCGAGATTCTTAAGCGTACAAGTTCAAGGATGTACAGTCCGATATAAACGTGCTAGATGTGTCTTGAAGGTCATCGAGTGTACAAGTATCATGATTATTCTGGTAGAAACGTAGAGACTACCCAAGACATTTTTCATTGTCTCATCAGTCATACCAAAACGTATGTATATATTGCACGTACATGCATAAGTACATATGTAATTACTAAATGGCTATTGCTAAATCTCATCGTACGTTCGTTCATAAGGAAAAAGGCACTGTTCTCCAGTTCCAATCATTTCCCGCCTATTTTTCAGCACCTTATCTCTTGGTAATCGAACACTCGGTTGATGTCACAAGTTGCTACGGATCGTTGGAAATAACGGAATTAGTCAGCACTTGTTCATGAGTCAGCTCATATGCTGTTCCCGAAATATTATGTTAATTCATTTGAGAAAGCACAATAATGTAGGGATATAGTGATAGAGAAGGTGATTAGCCGTCACGGGGTAAGAGAATTACGTGGTTTGCTTGCACCGAGATGAGAGATCGATCGATCGATCGTTTCGAGGTCACGGCTCTCGCTCTCAATCCCGATCGATGAAGGTAGAGAGGAAATACCCATATGACTATACCGGTGTATGTATTTGCTGGACATCGATCTTGGACACACCAGTGTCACTCGTGTATCGGATAACTCGACGATAACGCGACAAACAAGTCTATCGATCCTTTTACGTTACCATGGCTAATTGTACGAATAACCCTATCGGTACCACTTCGTACCGTTTTCAATGAGAACTTTATCGACTTTAATTGTAGAAGGATAATAAAAGCCAAAATAGATATTTTTTAAATACATATATACGTAATCAAAATTATAATTTATAGAAGAGAACAACATGAAGTTTTAATATAAAATAATAAAATTCTTCGAATCTTTATATTATATAATAATGTAAAACACACAGAGAACAAAAAAAATAATAATAATAACGAAAAAATAGGTAAAAGTTAGATTGAAATTGGAAAAGAAAATCTTGTATAACAATCGAATAAATTTGAAAGTTGAAATTAGTTCTTGAATGTTGAATTTCAAGGAAGACGAAAGAAAGAAAGGAGTAAAATAATCATCATCGCGTCAACGTATAAACGACGAAGACCTACCAACCAACGTCGTCCCTCTTTGGATTCTCGCTCATCCTTCCTTCCTGCCTTCCGGGCTGTGCTTTCCGTTCTCCCTTCCTTCGTGTCTATTGGCGCGTACGAGGCCGCGATTTCAAAGCGCGAGCGCGTGCAAGCGAGAGACGTGGGTACCAAGCTCGCGATCGTCTGCGGCTGCAGTCGACTACGGGCGCACCTGGCCGCGCCTGTCCTGTCTACCTACCTGCCTGCCTGTCTATCTATTTGCTTGCTTGCTTACCTGTCTGCTGCTTGCTTGCCTGTACCGGCGTATCAAGAATCGAGCGTGCGCGTACTCAAAACCCTTTACCGACCTAACATTACTGCTATCCCACAAAGCGAACGTCTTCTTTTTCTTCTTCATTGCCTTCCGCGAATCAACGAAAGGAAGCGACACCCTCCCGATCGATTGAATCATTGATTTTCCGTGATTTCGTGACTTCCGTTTATAATCTATTACGAAAAGTGTCGTTTTTTAAAACTAAATAGTGCATATTATCTATCTATTATTATTATTATTTGATCATTTTTACCCAAAGTTATTTTTATTAAAAAAGAAAATTATTATAAGAAAATTTTGTTATATAAAGAATCATATTTAAACAGGTAGGGATTATCTCTTATCTTAGATATGTGTGTATAATGCATGAACTTAGTAGGTAGGTATAAAGAGAGAGAGAGAGTGTGTGTGTCTGTGTGTGTGTGTGTGTGTGTACGCTTGTGGAATACCACAAATTCCTTAACAAGAAAGCACGTCGTTATCCTTTGCCGCGCGAATTCTATCTTTGAATGTATTTTCGAAGCGACCAAGTCTGAAGCTGAAGAAGAAAAGCGTACGAGAAACGAGTATCAAGAAGAAAGAGAGGGAAGTTGGTGGAGGTGGAGGAAGAGGAGAAGAAGAAGAAGAAGAGGCCTTAGAAGAGAAACACGAACTGGCAAGAACTGAAGTAGGGAGAAGGAGAGAAAGAAAGATAGATATAGTGAATAGGAAGAGTAGCAGCAGCAGCAGCAACAGCAACAGCAGCAGCAGCAGTAAAAGCTTCCTTATAACAGCATCTACGAAGCTTTACTTCTATTCGTGAGCTAACGTTTAAACGTTCATAAATCGGCAACTCGGAGGGGATTTTACATGCGTCATCGTTGTACGGGTACAAATCGCACGCGCTTCGACGTCCCGACGACAGTACACGTGCGCAACGACGTACTACGTCGGCCCTGTGCTGGTAATACGGAACGTCTCAGTTCTTCTTCTTCTTCTTCTTCAAGGACACGCAGTGATAAATGTGGTACTGCCGCGAATGACACCAACCGCGTTCTCCAAAATGATTGTCTTATTCTTCTGCCTCATACTCCTCTGCAAAGGTAAGTTATAACAGATATATTTCTTTTCCTTTCATTTTTTTTTCTTTTTTTTGTTTTTGTTTTATTTCTAAAGCAACGAGTAAAATATCGATAGATAATTCAAATCATGAAACTCTTACGAGGTACTTTAACCCTTTTACAATTTATAATTATTCGTGAACGAATCAAAAATGTGTAAGATTGAAAGTAAAACAGATACGTGAGGAGAATTCTCATAGTTTTTTAAACCCTTTTATTCAAGAACGAATAAATGCGTTATAACAAATGAAATAACTTAAATTATAAAAATTGGGCACTTATTTTATCGTTATTCTTAGTAATTAATGATTTTTCTAATGTAAATTAAGAAATAATGCTCAATGTTTTCCTTGTTTTCGGGATTTACACATTCACAGTAAATAATACTACTAAAGATATTATGCATCGTTACACAATCTCTAAGAATTCTCCTTTTACCGCGTGAATTGCAAAGCTTTTATCTTGTATAAAAGAAAAACACGAGTCTAAAGATTGAAATGATCATCGATTAAACGAGAAGACGCGTAAGATGAAAGGAACAAGTTATTCTTCTTTCTTCGTGTGAACAAAAGAGAATTTTTTAAATAAGCCGTAAACTATGAATTAATATGGTACGTGTCATCTTTTTTACGACTGCGAAGGCCTTAACCTCGACAAGGGCCACGTAGCCACTAAATGACTAAACCGAGGTTGCATTCGGAATGAACATATCGTAGGCACAGAACGTTCACCGCCAAACATCGATAACATCGATCAACCTCTTGAAAAGTTTTTCAAATTTTATTACTCAATAAACTCGAGGACATTCCTCATAGAACAATTAAACATTCTTTTTTCCCTCTTCCTCTTCCTTACTGACATGTCCTAGAAAAAACAAATGCAAACAATGTCAAGATTATTACTTCGCTCTCTTTAATCGTTGAAAACGTCAACGAGAAAACAGAACGATATAACTTTCTCTATGCATTTTGATCCCATTTTCTCTCTCTCTTTCTCTCTCTCTTTTCTTTCCCTTCCTTTTTACGTTGACCATAACTCGTATGACATTGGAATAATTTCATAAACTAATTGTAAGTTTAAAGCGATAACTAGGCGAATCGTTATACTACGCGATTACAGTTAACGATGATACAAAGAATCCAAATGTATATAGAAACAAAGGTGAGAACGTCATAAAAAAAAGTAGATGGAAACTGTATGCAAATAATTGATCAGACTAATTATAAGAAAATTGACTTGCTTGACTCATCACTCGTGTGCTTGTCAATTGAATGATCGATGTCAATTAAATCCTATATCTTTCAGGGAATCTTTTGATGAAAGCGCCTAAGATTCATAAGAGATGAAACTTCACATCAGAATTTATGCAAACCGGTATTCGTAAAAGCGTTTATTTAATGTATGATACATTTTACATCATTTGATATAATCGCTGAAAATATTAGAGTACAATTAAAAAAATTCCAATCGTAATGATCGTGAGAAACAATAACGAAATTATTTCTTTCTTTTCTATCCAAATTAGAATATATAATAAAATAATATTTCTATTTCTTAATGATCTTATATCAAAAAAGTCTGATTAAATATTTTCTTAAAATTGTAAAATAAAATTTTGCTAAAATATTATTGCAAATGGTAAATTAAATATCAATGAACAGCAAAGAATTAAAGAAAAAACAATAATGAGTTGTTGCTCTACACAACGATAATGAAGATTTAAAGAAACTAGGAACCGAAACAGAGTACTAACTAATATTTCGTAATAAAAACGAGCTGTGCAACGACTCATACTTCATTCATCGCACGTAGTACATTCATACTACGTTAAGGAAACGTCCTTGCTTCTCAAAGAAATGACAATTATATGTCATGTTCGTGAAGTTCTTATGTAAAATTTAAGAAATCCTTCGAAAAAAGGGATGAAGTATTTTTCTCTGTCATTCCGTATCCGATCGCTTTAATGGATTTAAAAACGATTGGACACGCTCACGTACTTGGACCGTGTACCGTGAATCATTGAACAAATTATCGCCGTGCTCGTTGCGAAGTTTGCGATATATTAGTCATTGTAAACCTATCGCGCCTTTACATTTCTTTTTATAAATATATCGATAGCGCATAATTCTTTGATCTCAGAACTTGTCCGGAAATTCCGAAAATATTTCTCATTAATGTTAAAGCACGTATGGTCGCGATAATCTTCGGTTCACATTTTATTCGACGTAAAATATTAATGAACTGTTAATGCTGTTCAAAAAATTTATAATGAAAATAAATTTGAAAATATAGTTAAAGCAACGGAAGGATCGTAATGTGAAATTATTATCCTTGTCATGAAAAAGAAAGAAAAAATACGCAGGAGGCTTTTATAAGAAAAAAAAAAATAAAAAGAAATAAACAGAAAGAATATATCGATTAACATAAAATCTCGATACGGTAGAGTCTTGAAGAAATTTTCGATAAAAAGAAAAGGAAAGAGAATGAGTCGATCGTACGTTGAAGTTTAACGTCTAGACTCGAGCAACGCGTATCATCTTTGTCCTTTCTTTTTTCATGCCATCTCGTAAAGCACCGATACCGGCGCGGCAACCGCATCGCAGCAAGCGAGCCGAAAGAACTGGTTCTTCTCCGGAGGGTGGTTAAACCCGATGCAATGCGTGCATTTAGTGAAACATCGCGTAGGAATGCAAACACTGAAGGGAGGGTAGAAACCTGCGTGGGAACCTCTCTTTGCCACGTTATGCTGGCTGACCATGGAATTTGCACGAATTTTCTTCTTTTTTTTTTCTTTTCTTTTCTTTTCTTACTATTATAATTTTTTTTTTTTTTTTTTTTTTTTTTTTTTTTNTGTGTGTGTGTGTGTGTGTACGCTTGTGGAATACCACAAATTCCTTAACAAGAAAGCACGTCGTTATCCTTTGCCGCGCGAATTCTATCTTTGAATGTATTTTCGAAGCGACCAAGTCTGAAGCTGAAGAAGAAAAGCGTACGAGAAACGAGTATCAAGAAGAAAGAGAGGGAAGTTGGTGGAGGTGGAGGAAGAGGAGAAGAAGAAGAAGAAGAGGCCTTAGAAGAGAAACACGAACTGGCAAGAACTGAAGTAGGGAGAAGGAGAGAAAGAAAGATAGATATAGTGAATAGGAAGAGTAGCAGCAGCAGCAGCAACAGCAACAGCAGCAGCAGCAGTAAAAGCTTCCTTATAACAGCATCTACGAAGCTTTACTTCTATTCGTGAGCTAACGTTTAAACGTTCATAAATCGGCAACTCGGAGGGGATTTTACATGCGTCATCGTTGTACGGGTACAAATCGCACGCGCTTCGACGTCCCGACGACAGTACACGTGCGCAACGACGTACTACGTCGGCCCTGTGCTGGTAATACGGAACGTCTCAGTTCTTCTTCTTCTTCTTCTTCAAGGACACGCAGTGATAAATGTGGTACTGCCGCGAATGACACCAACCGCGTTCTCCAAAATGATTGTCTTATTCTTCTGCCTCATACTCCTCTGCAAAGGTAAGTTATAACAGATATATTTCTTTTCCTTTCATTTTTTTTTCTTTTTTTTGTTTTTGTTTTATTTCTAAAGCAACGAGTAAAATATCGATAGATAATTCAAATCATGAAACTCTTACGAGGTACTTTAACCCTTTTACAATTTATAATTATTCGTGAACGAATCAAAAATGTGTAAGATTGAAAGTAAAACAGATACGTGAGGAGAATTCTCATAGTTTTTTAAACCCTTTTATTCAAGAACGAATAAATGCGTTATAACAAATGAAATAACTTAAATTATAAAAATTGGGCACTTATTTTATCGTTATTCTTAGTAATTAATGATTTTTCTAATGTAAATTAAGAAATAATGCTCAATGTTTTCCTTGTTTTCGGGATTTACACATTCACAGTAAATAATACTACTAAAGATATTATGCATCGTTACACAATCTCTAAGAATTCTCCTTTTACCGCGTGAATTGCAAAGCTTTTATCTTGTATAAAAGAAAAACACGAGTCTAAAGATTGAAATGATCATCGATTAAACGAGAAGACGCGTAAGATGAAAGGAACAAGTTATTCTTCTTTCTTCGTGTGAACAAAAGAGAATTTTTTAAATAAGCCGTAAACTATGAATTAATATGGTACGTGTCATCTTTTTTACGACTGCGAAGGCCTTAACCTCGACAAGGGCCACGTAGCCACTAAATGACTAAACCGAGGTTGCATTCGGAATGAACATATCGTAGGCACAGAACGTTCACCGCCAAACATCGATAACATCGATCAACCTCTTGAAAAGTTTTTCAAATTTTATTACTCAATAAACTCGAGGACATTCCTCATAGAACAATTAAACATTCTTTTTTCCCTCTTCCTCTTCCTTACTGACATGTCCTAGAAAAAACAAATGCAAACAATGTCAAGATTATTACTTCGCTCTCTTTAATCGTTGAAAACGTCAACGAGAAAACAGAACGATATAACTTTCTCTATGCATTTTGATCCCATTTTCTCTCTCTCTTTCTCTCTCTCTTTTCTTTCCCTTCCTTTTTACGTTGACCATAACTCGTATGACATTGGAATAATTTCATAAACTAATTGTAAGTTTAAAGCGATAACTAGGCGAATCGTTATACTACGCGATTACAGTTAACGATGATACAAAGAATCCAAATGTATATAGAAACAAAGGTGAGAACGTCATAAAAAAAAGTAGATGGAAACTGTATGCAAATAATTGATCAGACTAATTATAAGAAAATTGACTTGCTTGACTCATCACTCGTGTGCTTGTCAATTGAATGATCGATGTCAATTAAATCCTATATCTTTCAGGGAATCTTTTGATGAAAGCGCCTAAGATTCATAAGAGATGAAACTTCACATCAGAATTTATGCAAACCGGTATTCGTAAAAGCGTTTATTTAATGTATGATACATTTTACATCATTTGATATAATCGCTGAAAATATTAGAGTACAATTAAAAAAATTCCAATCGTAATGATCGTGAGAAACAATAACGAAATTATTTCTTTCTTTTCTATCCAAATTAGAATATATAATAAAATAATATTTCTATTTCTTAATGATCTTATATCAAAAAAGTCTGATTAAATATTTTCTTAAAATTGTAAAATAAAATTTTGCTAAAATATTATTGCAAATGGTAAATTAAATATCAATGAACAGCAAAGAATTAAAGAAAAAACAATAATGAGTTGTTGCTCTACACAACGATAATGAAGATTTAAAGAAACTAGGAACCGAAACAGAGTACTAACTAATATTTCGTAATAAAAACGAGCTGTGCAACGACTCATACTTCATTCATCGCACGTAGTACATTCATACTACGTTAAGGAAACGTCCTTGCTTCTCAAAGAAATGACAATTATATGTCATGTTCGTGAAGTTCTTATGTAAAATTTAAGAAATCCTTCGAAAAAAGGGATGAAGTATTTTTCTCTGTCATTCCGTATCCGATCGCTTTAATGGATTTAAAAACGATTGGACACGCTCACGTACTTGGACCGTGTACCGTGAATCATTGAACAAATTATCGCCGTGCTCGTTGCGAAGTTTGCGATATATTAGTCATTGTAAACCTATCGCGCCTTTACATTTCTTTTTATAAATATATCGATAGCGCATAATTCTTTGATCTCAGAACTTGTCCGGAAATTCCGAAAATATTTCTCATTAATGTTAAAGCACGTATGGTCGCGATAATCTTCGGTTCACATTTTATTCGACGTAAAATATTAATGAACTGTTAATGCTGTTCAAAAAATTTATAATGAAAATAAATTTGAAAATATAGTTAAAGCAACGGAAGGATCGTAATGTGAAATTATTATCCTTGTCATGAAAAAGAAAGAAAAAATACGCAGGAGGCTTTTATAAGAAAAAAAAAAATAAAAAGAAATAAACAGAAAGAATATATCGATTAACATAAAATCTCGATACGGTAGAGTCTTGAAGAAATTTTCGATAAAAAGAAAAGGAAAGAGAATGAGTCGATCGTACGTTGAAGTTTAACGTCTAGACTCGAGCAACGCGTATCATCTTTGTCCTTTCTTTTTTCATGCCATCTCGTAAAGCACCGATACCGGCGCGGCAACCGCATCGCAGCAAGCGAGCCGAAAGAACTGGTTCTTCTCCGGAGGGTGGTTAAACCCGATGCAATGCGTGCATTTAGTGAAACATCGCGTAGGAATGCAAACACTGAAGGGAGGGTAGAAACCTGCGTGGGAACCTCTCTTTGCCACGTTATGCTGGCTGACCATGGAATTTGCACGAATTTTTTTTTTTTTTTTTTTTTTTTTTTTTTTTTTGCATCATAATAATTTTTTTTTTTTTTTTTTTTTCTTTTTCATTCAACGTATGGTGAGATGTCTTCGTACGTACTATATCGATACGGTACAAAGTGGAGATAGGTACGAAAGATCGATATCAAACATGCGTCGAACCGTAACGAAAATTAATCGATGATTATAATATACAAGAATCTTACAATATATGTATGCAGGTTACGCGTTAGCTAATCTCTAGTCTAAGCGGAGTTACTAACATCCCACATCATCTATCTAGGACAAATATGTTGTTGAAGACACGATATAAAAATCGGGATGATTAAACTGTGCACTTTGGAGAATACTTATTTTCAACTAACTAAGATAGTTCGTTTTAATGTATTCTACTATAAGAAGTATCTATGTACAAAACGTAGAGATTTATTTTTATATCATACGAAAATCAAAAATGCTATTATTCGAAAATATTTCTCTTGAAATATTAATTTAAAGTCATAGTTCCAAATAACGAAGTCCTAAGAACGAAGGATGATTCTTACGTTTCCTTGACACCATACCAGAATCTCCCGACGGGTGTGTATACACTCGATGCCGTCTACGGACTTCTCGAGTTTCAAGGTATTCTTACCTGATCTTCGCAAATAAAAGATAAGAAACAATTTTTCTTCCTCTTATTTCACGGTGATTACTTTTTAAGTTGCCCGTCCAATGTTAATAACGAATATTCAAGAATAATTATAAAAGACTACTTATTATAACAATTAATGAAGAAACTTTAAAAAAAAAGAAAAATATAAAATATATATGAGAAAAGAAAACTCGTCCAAAATTCACGGTTAGCGAGAAGAAATTGTTGCTAATCACGCTACGAAACAGTCCGTGGTGGATACAAATTTTTGCTCGTGAAATCTCTTTCCCATTTGCGATTAAACTACAAAAGAAAAGGGGTAGAAATGAATTTGATAATAATCCATTATTAAATGTGATGTAACGATGTAACATCGTTTGTTGAACTTTAACATTTCCGGATTTAATTCTTACATCCTCGTCAAGGATATCAACGTATAACAATAGAACATACGGATACATGAAAATTGTTTGTGTGTATTTATATACTATGTAGTAATATAATTAGCATTCCGGACATACGATAATTATTTGTGTTTTATTGCAAGATCGAACGTCGTTTTAACATGTTTCAAAAATCGAAACTGCTCGATTTTTTCGAATTAGATTAGAGAATATTCTTGATTGAATTACGAATTATATCACTCATTAAATATGTGATAAATTTCAATGCTATTTCTGAAAATTAATCCAGAATAGTTATATTAATAACAAAAAATCAATAATCTAGAAAAGATTCCTTGGTATTCGGTAAATTTCCGGAATACCGATTGAAAGATCTCATGAGTGAATAACACTCCTCTTCTTCGAACTATTTCATTCGAAATTCGTTTCTCGGGTTTCTCCTGTCCTCTTTTTCTTATTACTTTATACGTATGCAAATTGTGCCGGTTGGTAGAACTCACTAAGAGAAATGGAAAAAAGTCTTAATAAACATATAACAGGAAATGTGAACCGTTTTAAAAATATATATTTCTTTTTTTTTTATTTTATTTTATTGAAATAATTAAGGCAGAAAATATCGTTGCGAATCGTATTCAATTACAATGCAAGTATGCTAACATTTCTTGTTTAAATTTCTTTTTTAATGAATTCAACCAGTCTTGAAAGTTTGCGCATATAATTCAGTAACATCCCGTACACGTATGTACGTTTCAAATCCCGTTTTTTGGGGTTCGTTCGAGTCAGGTTAACGACCTCAAATACAAAGATTTACTTCCTTCATCTTCGTTTATCATTTAAACTTTGTAATTTCTTTTTCTTCTTTTTCAATTCCAAAATCTCTATTTCTTCGGCTTACAAAGAACATAAATGAATCTATAATACCTTTTAATGGGATTCAATTGACGTCAGATTAGTTACGCCGTAAACTCCTCGAGGATTCGCGTATAAGAAAATGATATCTCATGTTCAATTACGAACTTACCAGATAGCGGCACTACTCAATCAAAATACTAAACTTTTGATTGAATCACTTCAATCTTTTATACCTGCTTTTCATTACGCCTTGACTGCTATGCCATTTTTATAAAAGTCGATATCACGCATGCATTTCATCTTTTTATTTTTTTTATCGTTCCTTATTTCATATAATTGATCAGTTTTCATTATTTTTTACATCTTCTTATTTTTTTTATCATCGATTATATTTATAGATTATATTAATAGAAACGAGTGACGATCACATTGATGAACAACACGGCATTCAGCATATTAAATTCAAAGACAATGCACGAAAGGTCACTGCGAACTCGAACTACGTTCTTCTTTGTAATAAGAAAGTATTTCAAGAAAGTAAAGAACGACCTTGATTATTTAAAACAATTTAAAAACTTCGTTCGATAATTATTGTATCGTCAAAACATTTAACGCAAGAAAATGTGAACAAATTCCTAGGATAAGCTTGTAGAATCATAAAACTATAGACTACAACGAGTAGGTACGTTGATGTGAAGTGGAAACGACCTTCCAGTGTCAGCGACCACGGGTCACTCGTCTTGAGGAGAACGTTGCGGTTATGGTTTGCGTATTACAAAGTTGGTGAACGTTGCGAGTCTATGTACTAAAGATCAACCTCGATCGTCGTGCATATACCATTCGTACATAAAAATTGACGACAGACTTATCATATGAAAAGCAACATGACCCTGGACAGGGACGGCGGGTGCAATTAAAAAATATCTAATTAACAAAACGAAGAGTATGAAATTATTTCCTTTGATTTTCTCTTGTAATTATGCCATACTTTCTATTTGATCCTTTCGAAAGAACTTCCTCGTAAAAAACGAAGTTCTATAGATACTCTATTTTATATATAAAGGAGAAAATAAGTTTGAGACGATATTTAAACTGGTGTTTAAAAAAAAAACAATCCACGGAGAGGACTCGTTTTAAAGATAATCGATCTTACGGAGAGCTTCTCGTGAGACATCCGTCCCTGGTTCTATCCGCCTCGCGGACGGTGACAGACGCGCAACGCAAGGCGATTGTCTACGTGACCATCGTTGCTTCCTGCCCGATGTGTCCTACATATCCGCTTGTCGATGTCACTCAGCTCGGTAGACTCGTGTTCCATCAGAGACTCCACGAATCACGATGTTTTCTCGTTGTTTCTTTATCATAATATGAATAGAACATCCGTTTTTTTTTTTTTTTTTTACATTATTCTTTTCTAGATACCGTAGATACGATTTTAAAGTATCTACTTAAAATGTTTACCTCATCATCGCGATATACAAAATCTATTTATTTTTTACTTTCTTTAGGTCAACCCGTTGTACAAGTACCTGGAGAAAATTCAACGGTCACGACAGATGTTGAACAAATTACGTTAAAAGAAAATGAGACGAGAGATCAATTAATGAACGATACCCTTCAAGGATCGCCAACACCGGTGCACTTTCTTCACGTGCCTAAACACACTGAAACGCAGCTTGGCTCGTCCGTTCTCTTACCATGTAGAACGATGAATCCCGTTGTTGAATGTCAATGGTCCTGGCAACCATTACCACCGGTTCATCTGCCACTTCCGGATATTAGCGAGAGTCCAAACGACTCTATGAGTTAGTTTTTTTTTTTCTTATAATAAAATTTCTATTATCTGAATGAATAAGAATACAAAAGCAAAGTGATTCCTTAATACGACATCTTTTTACATCTCTCGTTTTATTTTATCTATAAAACGAACTTTACTAATAAATTGCTGTTTTGATCTTTAGCAACGACAATGTCATCAACATCAACTACGTCAGCCCCAACAGCACATCCATTAGCAGTAAGACGATTTCCAGCTTTTGGAAATAGTAGCAACGATTGTTCAGTACGATTTTCAAGTATGAAGCATGAACAGACTGGATACTGGACTTGTGCCGCAAGGAATTCAACGAACGATCCTTTCACTGCCACAGCACCCGCCAAGTTAACCATCGTTAACGATCAAGGTACGAATCGTAAAGGATCGCCTTTCGCATCAAGAGTTTCTTATCTCTTGATAAGAAACGCATCGTGCGTAGTAAAGTTGACCAAGAAGACATTATACACTGTGTGTATTCAGTATATAGCTTTTGAAAATAATATTTGCACAATTGTTTTTTGACTACCAAGAATTATGGATGTCTTATGTATCTTATCTTTTTGTATCGTTAAATTTGTAAAAGTATATGTTTGATTATCGTGGTCTCTTACATATCTGTCGGAAGATATACACGGATCGACGCCTTCCCCGTATTGCTTTTGACACGATCGAAAATTATAGACAAAATAATCGCGATTTATGCTTATTGTTTTAATTATTGTGGCACAAAATAATATTGTGACCTCGTTCAGAAATAAATTTTTGCCAAATTATGATCGACGCGTTCAACGTTTTTTTAAACAGAAATGTTGATGTTACGATTTTATATAAAAAAAAAACACAGTAAAGACGAAAATGAAAAGAAAATAACTTTAAAAGATAAAAACAATAATATGAAAAAAAACGATATCAAATTGACGCGTACATGTTTATCAACTTATAAGAACAGATCTATCGAAAAACATCGAGATATATTAAAATACAATTAAAAAAATATAATTTACGTAGGATCCCTCATTACCTTTGTTAAACACGAAGAAGCGATAGAGGTTGTAGCAGGCTCATCAGCACAAATAATGTGCAGAACGAAGTTACCTGTACGCGAGTGTCAATGGTCCTGGCGAAGATTAGACCAATCCGAATCTTGGAACCTAGAAGTAAAGAGATTTCCAGCCTTTGGAAACGATAGTACCGACTGTAGCATCAAATTCAAAAACGTTCTAGCGGAACAAGAAGGCTATTGGACCTGTGGTGCACGTATAGATCCAAATTCGTCATTTGTGCGATCGAATCCAGTTCGATTCTTGATATCTGAAGGTATGTAAAAAATAAATTGTTTAAGAAATTTAATCCTATTTCTTTGTTATATTTACTTTGCTTCTCTCTTACTTGTGTCACTTTCTAAATTAATATCTTATTTTAGTTGAATTCGTGCAACTATCTCGCGGCGTACAAGTTGCTGCCGGTGAATCCGTGCTGCTAAGGTGCTTGGTCAATAAACCCGTAATACGCTGCGAGTGGTCCTGGAGATCAACGAACTCGAGTAAGGATCCCTTGCTTGTAAAGACGTTCGCTCCAAATAAAGATGCCGATCACGACTGCTCCGTACGATTTAAAAACATCATTTACGAGGAAGAAGGATTATGGACTTGCGGAATTCGATTATCACCTGATGGTATACTCCATGAAGCACCACCAGCAACTGTTAGTCTTTTACCATCGGGTAAACATTAAAACAAGATCTTCCTTTCTAATCCGATAAAGAGGAGCTCGAGCTTTTTTTTATTTATTTTTGTTATTTTTATGTTTCTGTAAATTTCAGCTAAAGTTAATTTGGTGGAAATACCAACGGATACTACAGTACCTTTAGGAACCGAAGTTACCTTGAAATGTATTACCAGTAGCCGGGTAGAGAAATGTGCTTGGAGTTGGAAACCACTGCATGGAAACGATCCTGAAATCGTGCTTCGAGAATTCCCAAGTAACGGTGATCTTGGCAGGGATTGTTCACTCATTCTTCCACATGTTCATACCGAGGAGCAAGGATTGTGGAATTGTCAGGTATCCATACCGTCACTTAATACAATGCTGTCCTCTCCATTCGTCAAACTGTTAACATTCGAACAAGGTAAGCTTTTATCAGAAGAAAGACGTGTACAGAAACTCGAAATGTACAATTGCTAAATAATACTTCTCCTTCTGCTTCCAGAGGAAGTGAAATTTTCAGAGCTCTCACAAGACATTCAAATATCATCCGGTGGTACCATACTCCTACGATGTGTAACGTCATCGCCAGTAGAACAATGTCGATGGTCCTTGACACCAGTTAATTCTAATACTACCGTAGTTGTGAAACAATTCCCAGCAGCTGGAAGCGAGTCAAGGGATTGCAGTGTCAGGTTGAGTCATGCCCTAGCCGAGCAAGAAGGTCTTTGGACCTGTGGCGCCAGAATACACGGTCGTGAAAATTACACGGATGCACCACCAGCAAAATTAAGCCTCCTCGAGCCAGGTATCATCGAATCCTGAGAAAAGGATAGACGATCTTGTTGCATAGCGCCCTTCCTTGCACATACGGTCGAGGGTAAATGCACTCCGTATCGTCGATTTCGATCGTTCCTCGATCTTCCACGTAACGACTTTGAGATGATATCTGATCGAATGATATCGCAGAAATTTTGACGAGAAAGATTCTTAACCCGTTTAATTTTGGACAACTTACGTACGACACTATAGACAATATAGTAATTATAATAGTTAACAATTTTTATTAACAATAAAAATAATAAAAGCCGTATCGGCTTTTTTGTTTGATATCAAATCCGAATTTAAACGCGTATTCGTTTGTTTTTAATTTATTACAAATTATCGAAGCAACATCGATGGGGCGATCTTGGCGATATTTAGAGATTATATTAACTCACTGTTAAATTGCTTCTAGCCTAAGATATGTGTTATTCATGGAAAAAGGTATGTACGTACATAATCGCGTTCTCAAAATACCCACAACAACGGGAAAAGAATAAAAATCAATCGACGAGTCATCGATCGAGTCGTTCGAGAATCTTTCATGGTGACGGTGAAGACGCGCAAGACCTAGAGGTGTGGAACTGTGAGATCTTGGTATATTAAAAAGGTCAAGTTTTACACGGGTGTTCCTAGACTGTGATCTTTAATATGGGTCTCGGAAGAGCACATAAGCAACTTTTCTATCTTTCTTCCTATCGTCGTTTTCTATACGTAGTACACAATCGATTTATTCCTGGATCGATGTTATATCGATCGCTATGTAGATATTGATTTTTGACTGAATGTAAAATTAAATTTTTTGCAGAACAACTATTTTCTTGCACTCCGTAACGTAGCACCTTAATTTTTATTCATCAAATATTTCTTTTTTTCTTCTTCCCTTTTCTTTTTAAAGCGCGACCTTAGGAAGTGTCTTATTTTATTTTTACTTCATCACCGCATTGATGTTACCATGCATTTTTCATTTAAACGGTGCTACTGTGACTCAAATTTAACATTGCATTTTTTTAGCATCAAATCATACTACTTTAATTATATCTCGCCATGTACATACAATATTCTTCTTCGTTACATCTACTCGATAAATCGTTGAATCGTTGTATTTAAGATTTACTAGTTTACCATGATATTACTACAATGGCAGGGTGCGTCTATTTTTTTCTTCTTCTTAGAAACGACGTTTATCAGCCAAGATCATACTATTTACTAAATCGATTTTGTATTTAGAACAATTAATATTACATCAAGAAATACGTGATTCTTATGTCACATACGTTTGTATATTTTATCGTTCGTACCATTTCAATTACATTTTTTGTCATTTTCGTATTATTTATTACTTTAATTATATCGGTAATGCGGTTATATCTATTTTGCAAAGTGAGAACAAATGCGTGCGTGTGCGTGAAAAGAAGAAAAAATATTGTATTGTTTCTTTTAAATTAATTCCAGAGGCTTTTAGAAAAACTTTATAATTTAATCGTTTAATTTATAAGTTAAGGAAATTCAGAAATCTGAATCCTTTAAATTATTAACAATGTTAATGTATTAGTAATGCTACTTCTATTATTAATAATCGTATTAAAGACTCGCGCGTTTTCTCTAATCGTCGTACGTTATATTGTTAAATTAACTAATTTTTAAATACCGATATTTCATCTATCATAGAACATTTTGCACTTTGTAACTAAAATTTTGATATTTGTCAGTTCATGTTACTTCTTTGCAAGCAAAGGATTGGAATACATGGTGTAAAAAAAATTGAATAGAGTGTAATCTTGATCAAATCAAATAGCACAAGTATTTGAACAATATTTTATAAAATATTAAAATTAAGTAGTTAATTTTTAATATTAAGAGTTAATATCCTATAGGTATATTATATATTAAGCGACATAATTCTTCGCTGATTTTGCAAAATCCTTCTTCATTCGTTAAATAAGTTATAAGCCACAAATATCTTTCAATACAAATGCTTAAATGCTCTGTGTGCCATTAAGTCTATTTGGCTTCTATGAAGTAAATATCATTAAATAGTCTACATTCAATGATTCATATATATATATATATATATATATTGGCCATAAATATTATAAATATTATTACTGTAACCAGGTATACTAAATAAATGGAAATCTTAAACTGGTACACCAGCCTTTTCATTATCATCGCCAATCTGTACCAGTTCGGTTAACTAAAACATATTTTTTCAATGGGGTGCATTATATGTGCCATTTAGTATTACTTATGCACATAATCTTTTCAACACGCTTATACACATTGCACATATTGATCCCAATGATCTATTATTCACAAGCACTAGAAAAAGCAGCATAGCTTCTGGTGAATGGGGCAACGATTATAAGAATAAATTTAAAAAACAATCATAGTGGATAATAATTTATAGAACCTGTGATAGTCACACTTTGGGCCGCTCCTCACCAGATGGTCACTTTGGCTTGTAAACTAGGACAAGTTCCTGTAGAAGCTCAATGTCATTGGATACACGAACCAAATGTTTATATACATCAAAATGTTAATAATACCGGAAAGAAAGAAAGGTGAAATTTGACAATCATTTTCTTTTGTAACATTGTAATGTATTCTCACATATTTTCGAAATAGGCACAATCTTCAAATGAATTATTCTACTGGGATATGTACAATAGAATTCAAACCTGATTATTCAGATCTAGGACGATGGACTTGCAAATTTACAAAAGATAACAAAAATAAGAATATAGAATTGGGAAGTGCGACACTCATCTTACTTAATACACTTTCTGGTTTGTAACATTATGTTATTTATTTTTAACTACTTATTCATAAAAGGTAACAAGTTTTTTCTTTGATTTTATAGACGAAAAGCTTGGATGGATTGTTGGTGCTTTAACCGCTATTATTTTATTTTTAATGATTATCGTAGTAGTTCTAGTAGTTTGTAAAACTCGACTTTTTGTACGTCGATCACCAGAAATATTAGAAACAATGCCTGCTTCAAAAAGAGAACATTTCCAATGCACTAATGATAGAAGAATAGAACACGATAACTACAGTAATACAAATAATATTTTTCCAAATAGAAGCCCACATTTGTATGAAAGAGTAGAAAAATATAATGTTGTAACACCAAAATTATATGAAAACTTTGGATTGTAAATTTACATTTATCTATCAAAGACAATTAAAGTATACATCATTGCTCTTTTCTTAAACCTACTATTACCTTACATGATTAAAAACATTGTTAGCTTATAAGAGTAGAATATTCTTGTAAACAGTTCTAAATATTATCAAAACTTTTAAAAATATATCTTATATGTATATAAAATATAAAACAGTTTATTACTCTATTTCAATGCGTCAAGTTGATTTTGTATTTTTTCAAAATTCATATATAAATCAATGAGGGACTTTTTATCAAATTCGATAATTAATTTAGAATCTTTCTCACCTGTAAAATCTAACTGAAATAACGCTAAAGGATTCGCATCTTTAGAAATTGTTGAAGATGATGATTGTATATTTAAACACCAATTAATATCCTTTACCTAAAAGAACAAAAAATATATGAAGTTTAAATCATGAGAGAAAATAATTGAGCACTAAAATAATCAAAACTATAGTACAATCTATTAATATACCTGTTTAGGAAATATAGATCTTTTTCTGAGATCTTTAATAATTCCTTTACCATAAGTTAACCATGAATTAACAAATATCAACGTTTTATCTTCATCCAAATGGCAAGTACCTTTTAAAATAGATTCGAATGCTGCAGGCTTTACTATATTGAAAGCAGCTTGTTTATAAATAAGTGTTATTGCATCTAACAAAAATGTTAACTCTTCTTTATTCAGTTCTAAAGATATTAGGAGTTTTTCTTCTTCCTCTTCACTGAATGGCTTTCCATTACTACTGAATTGTAGATTTTGACATATTCGATTAACAAGTAATCGAAATTTACCATTATCAATTCGACTAGCAATCTTTAAACCTTGTTGAAGACTAAAAAAATACAAGAATTAATAAATACGATCTAAGTAAACAATAAAGAAAAGAAAAATGATGATCAAATTTTTACTCGGGTGTTATGGTAATCCAACTTTCCATCATGATGCGTTGATATATACCGTTTTAATCATTTTAATTTGTAACTTTTTTTACAATTGATATAAAAACCTTGCACTTTTTAAGAGATTTTTATATAAAAGTTTATGACTTATTTATATTAATAATAATCTATGATATATACTAATATCGCACAACACGTAGTATATAAACAAAATTATCACACAAGGTTATCTCGTTCTTATGCGCAATCTCAACTCAGTAACTGAATCGTTGCTGATAGAAGCAAGCAAAAAATCTACTAATAAGATTTCTTTTTATACGACATATCTATAATTTAACGTTATATTAGATAAATTTTTGAAATAAAACTTCTTTTGGGAGGGTATCGAAAATTTTCAAATCAAATCTTTTTTTTTAGCGTTATCGATCTTCCCCACGCTCACGCATATTTCGAGACATTTGATCCATAACCATTATCCGATTTAAGTTCTCTTGACAATGAATAAACTATTCTGGACCATCCATTAAATCCTCTAAGTTTTTTGCAAATCTCAGAAGTGGGATAAACGAAAAAATATTGATCGGGCAAAATTTTTTCCATACCTGTAGAAATGTGAGTATGCAAGAGTATAAAAACATGTGTAAGATCGGTCGATCGATAATTATTGTGAGATGTGTTTGTTATAGATAGACGATATTCAAATGTCTTCGAACGATAAGATTTTATCCAAGGTATAGCTTATTATTCTCATATAATTTTTCAATATTAGTAATTTTTTTATATAAAAAAATAAATATGTATCATTAAATTCAATATTATAGGAACATCCTCGAAATTTAATACCGGAATTATGTCAACAATTTTATCATTTAGGATGGGTTACTGGTACTGGTGGGGGTATATCCATCAAGCATGAGTTTGTATATTCATGATATTTATAATATATAACAAAAGAAAAGTGGAAAAATAAAATAAAAAATTTATCATTATTTTAGAGACAAAATCTACATAGCTCCATCAGGCGTACAGAAAGAACGAATAAAAGCAGAAGATATGTTTGTTCAAGATATAAATGGAAAAGATCTAGAACTACCACCAGTTGAAAAAAAATTAAAAAAATCACAATGTACTCCACTATTTATGTGTGCCTATCTTAGAAGAAATGCTGGTGCTGTAATCCATACACATTCTAAAGCTGCTTTGATGGTTACTTTATTATGGCCTGGAAAAGAATTTCAGGTCACTCATCTTGAAATGATAAAAGGTAATAGACAGTAATAGAAAGTAAAACAAAATGTAACAAAGAATAATAGAATATGTAGAATCTATTTTGGGAACTGTTATACATCTAAAAATAATGAAAAGAGTTTATATAAACATATGCTTTATCTGTCTTCATAGGTATAAGAAATCAAAAGTTAGGAAAAGCTTATCGTTATGATGAAAAGCTAGTGGTACCTATAATAGAAAATACACCTTTCGAAGAAGATTTAAGAGAGGAATTAGATAAAGCAATTACTGAATATCCAGAAACTTGTGCAGTTTTAGTACGTAGACATGGTGTTTATGTTTGGGGAGATACTTGGCAACAAGCCAAAACAATGTAAGATATATTTACTTTATATATGCACTTTTTTTTTTAACCTTTTTGATATAGCTATATTGTTCATGAGTACACTTCCACTGTGCAGACATTTGCGTATCAAATTCGGTTCTACTATATGAGCCAATTACCATGCAAATATAAATTTTATTGCAAAGTAGATAATGGATAGAATATTATAATGTAATACATTTTTAAATATTTAGATTCTTAAAAATTATAAGCAGAGTACTAAATATCTATAGGTGACTATAGTCACCAGTAGGAAATAGTGAGTGTATGACATTGGATGATATAATGTACTAGTTAATAGTACGCAGAGAGCACCAAATAATGAGTGACTATAGTCACTGGTAGTATCTAAAGGTTTAAATACATGGTGTAAATTATAAATAATATTTTTTAATGCTGTTTGTAGGACTGAATGTTATGATTATTTATTTGATGTTGCCATACAAATGAAACAACATGGTCTGAATCCAGCATCAACTCCATCAGTATTGTGAACTCCATTGTTAAAAAATATTGTTAAAATTACTATAATAGTTTTTGGTAAGTTCTGCTTGCTAATTATAAGTAAAAATATCATAAAATAATAACAAAGTGCGAATAATTTTGTTAATAATTGTCGAAATTTGTAAATATGTAGTTTTTTCCACAATGTAAAAATATTTTATATATTATCGTAAAATATATATATATATATATATATATATATACATAAATTACTTTAATTGTCTACATCGTATGGTTTGAATTGTGTTCTGATCTTTTTGGCTAATTCAGTTTCTTTATCTTTATTCATTTGACAATCTCGCCAATCTGATCTATGATTAATATCCAATATCCTATCACATGCTAATACTTCTCTACCAAAGTTTAATGGAAAATCTTTTTTAATTCTATAATACAATAATTGTCCATCAGGTAACTCTACGTAAAAGTACAAAACACCAGCTTTTGCAATTTGTTGTAAATCTGTGTGAAGTGGAAGTTCCTCGATTTTGAAATTATTACATTCTGCTATTTCCTGTTTAAAATAAAATTGTATTTTAGATAAAAACCAAATTATTATATAAAGAAAAATAATATAGAAAAATAATAATATACCTCAAACATTTCTTTAATTACAGATGCTTGATTTTCATGGATTGGAACAGCTTGTAATTGACAATGAGATGTTTTATAATTTCTTTCAAAAAATACCGGTACTCGATTTGTACTTGCAAAATACGTTTTTATTGCATTTTTGTATAATTCTATTTCTTTTAAAATGTTGGATGGTAGAACTGATAAACTCTGATGATGTGTTATTGGCGAAATTAACATATGATCTTCGACTAATCCACCTCTGGCAAGTGCTATATAAACTTCTGTACCAACAGAAATTACTAAATGCTTAGATACTTCAGGACTGGATAAACAAAACCAACATTTTGCTTGATCAAATTCTGTCTTAAGCTTTTTATAGGAATAATCAGAATTTTTCGTTCGTTTACTAGGTTTAGATTTCATGTCATAAAAAAATTGTGTTGTTTTTGTTTCTGTCAGTTCATCTTGTAATAGGTGCTTTAGATAAGGACTAGATGTTTCATCTGTTGTTTTCATAACTAATTCCGATAATCTTATTCTGTCTATAGGAGTTAAGTTCAAAGCATATAACCATTTCTTTTTTTCATTATTTCCTACAGATCCAAGAGCAATAAACCTAGTTGCTATTTCAATACCACTTTCATCTAAACTATGATTTCTAAAAGAATATAATTAGTTTTTTATTAATAGAGTCATATTATTGTTATTTTACTCAAAATTAGTCGAATTAATTGTATATTATATTTACCTATAAGGTGGCCTTTCATAATGAATATTTTCTAATGCTGAGATATGATATCTTGGTTTTACTTGAGCAGCCAACCAAGCTACTAATTCAGATCCATGATATTTAAAATCAGGCTTATTCGGATCTAAATCGGTAATGCCTTTGGGCCATGGTGAGGATAATAATATATCTACTCCACGAAAACTTGGTTGACCTTTCAAACATGCATTCTTAACTGATACAAGATCATTCTTCTGGAAACAGACTTCTTTACACTCAGTTTTATTACTTTCGATACCACTGATATATGCAATTTTTAATCCAGATGTTGCCACATATAAACCTCTTCTACCAAGATAAGTTAAATTTTGACAAATTTCATATCCATCTATATAAGGATAGTATTTTAAATCCTCTTCTCTATTTGGCCCAATAATATACGTTGGAACAGCAATATTCTTCATGCCATTTTTGTATGGTTCAAGCTGTATATTATTTTCACCAAAAAAATCTCCAACACATAATAAAAATTCAAACGGTCCATTTTTCTTATTAATGTTTTCAATTTTCGTAAATAGAAATTTAAAATGTCCTTTAACGTCTCCACAACAAAGTATCTTTTGTTTATCTGTCATTTCTTAAAATTCATAAAAACTAGTTAATCGAAATTTTATGAAATATGTTTATCGTATCATTATTGCAATTTTTTCTTAACAATAAATGAAAATACAGTTGTTAATATTATAATGTTCACAACAACAATATAGGTTAAAAGTATAAGGACATATAGCAATTACAAGATGAATCTATCACTATTATTTCTTTATGATAAAATCTCTCTATGCTGAGTTTCCTTTTTCTTATCCAAAGTTTCTTGTCTTTCGATGCTTATTCTATGGTCAAGCATCATTGGACGTGATATTTATAAACTGTTTCTATACTAAAATAGCTACAATTTATTGATCAGAAACTTTTTCGAATTTTGAGGAAAACATCATTTTATTTGAACAAAAATTTTTGCAAAAAATACTATTTTTCATAATATAGTTTGTAAAATTTTTCATAAAATAAAAATAAAAAAGAAAAATATTTGTAAAAATTCGAAAATATCATCAACTTGTTGAGCCTGAGTGGGGCTTAAGTTGAGCGTCCTCACGCAGGTTTGGCGCTGAATGTTATACGAGCGCTATGTCGTCTAGGAACATTGTGAACTAACCTTTACACTGATCAATTTTTTTTTTTTTTAAATGAAAAATAAAAAAAAAGTAAAGAAAGAAAAAAAGAAAGTTTACGTACATATCGATCAATTATCAGAGCGTTATGTTGCGTCTTTTCGTTGTTTGCGTTATTACATGTCGAGAATTATCGTTCAATTGAGAGTTTGTGATATAAGTATATTAGGATGAATTCGCATGTAAATATGCGTGCTAGTTAGAAGCGTTTCGAGTTGGAATCATGAGACAAAGGCAAAGCGTCAGTACTGATTCAGTGGTACGATCTTAAACGGTAACCAACGGTTTACTTTTTTCGTTGGTTCTTATTATATTGTTAACATTGAGGTAAGTAATCATAACTACCTTTATTTTTTAATAAATTGTTTAACTGTTACCATCACATAATTTCAGAGATCTCATCTGGAATATTAATACAAACAGTAAAAATTGAAAAATAAACGTTAAATTATTAAAAATGGACAGGATGAGTACTAGAGATTCAGAGAATAATTTAACACCTATACGCATGTTTGAAAGAAACCGATTTGTACACTTAAGTAATACGTTCCGACAAATAAAAGCCGATCATGATAGGGATATGCTAAGAAGGAATTTTGAGGAGAGAGATAATTCTCAGGATTCGGACGATAACCACGAGCCCAACAATAAAAAGGATGCCTTGAAAATTTCATCAATTAAACAGTTAGAGGAGATAATATCAACGTTCAATGGTGACGATACCACAAATATTGAACACTGGCTACATAAATACGAAGTAATTGCAAATGCATGCTGTTGGTCCGATCTTCAGAAAGTAGTATACTGTAAACGAATGTTAAGAGGATCAGCGAGAAAATTCATTCGATTAGAAAAATGTTGTTTTTCGTGGAAACAACTGAAATCTTGTTTAGAAGCAGAATTTTTTACATTTCCTGAGAATATCACGAAACAAATGGAATGTAAGTTGCAAATAAATGAAATTAATAAAAGAGTCAGTGATTCTTGGATAGGAAGAACCAGAAGGCCGTCGGCGTTAGAACGATTTTTCCAGAAAACAAGTAACAATTCAGATAATAAATTCACCCTCGGAAATACTACCACACTTAAACAATTAAAAGAAGATGTTGCATTTTATGATAGCATAAATATGATGAATGGCTTACAATTGCATGACGCCGCACGTCGGAATAAATAATTGGTGCATGCATCGGAATCGAAGGACATGATATAATTGACGAATTCTCCGTATAGATTTTGCGACTTATTCATCGAAAATAAAGCATTTCACGTACAAGTTTGGATTTATATCGGACAAATGTCCGAGGAGCACTATACCTAAGATTTAGTATTATGAAAGTTGTTTATAAAAGTCATAACTCCATATTAGTGTTTAGATACACTTACAAAAAAAAACATTTTAGAAACACATTAAAATATGCAGCTCTGTAGTAGTTGCGTTGCGTAATTTACAATAAGATTTTGATAGATCCCAAGCAATACCGAGCCAGATTTTGGAGATTGCAGCATGTGCTGTATATTTGTATCATTACTAATATAGAAAGCATAACTATACATAAATCTATAAAACAATTAAAGCTGTAAAAATCAGAAGCAGATATTTTTATTAAATTAAACATTTTATTAATAAATATCTTCAAAATCTTTGGTATATCCCACAAATATTTATAACTATATTTTTTATAAAACAGTAAACAATTATATTTAATATTTTGTCTTTATATGTGTGCCTTCGGAAATGCATATACACGTATATTTCGAAAAACAATTTTAGACACTTCTAATATACGAAAATCAAAAAGAGTTGACATGTATTCAACGATGATTATTTGTAACAATAAATAAATACATCAATTATGTAATCAATGCATATAAATATGAAATATAATTCGTCCAATTCGTAGATGTACTTTTCAATTTAATTTCCTATCTATTATTATCCAATTTTTATTAACGTTGCAATAAAATCAAATTTACATGCCTAATTATACGTTATATCATGAGAAGAAAATTTTATTATTTCAAAAATATTATGTTACTAATAAAAATAAAATATATTTCAATCATTATAAATTATGTTTGTATTGTGTTCTTAAAAAACAAAATTGAACACAATACATTCAATCGAAGTTACAAATTGTAAAGACAGAAAAAAAAAGAAAAATGATTATAATTATTTAATAATTGATATATAATTAGAGAATGTACATTAGAAAAAATTACTAATTACTTGCAATTAATGACGAATATACGGAGCTTCGTTCTAATAGCACAAACTGAAAGTGACATGACGAGTTTCTTAATCGTACAACTAAAACAATTTGCAGGCATACGTGAATACATTATCATATAACTAAGATTATTTTGAATAAACAATTATTTTGATTAACAATGTTGCCAACAGTAGAACTTTTAACTACATACATCTTTTGGTATTATAGTCGAAATTTAACTGTAATTTTACTATTGGCTATTCTGCTTATTAAGCTAATCGTTGATTTAGATTGATCGAACTTGTTTGAAATGACCAAAAATATATTTCATGAAAAATTTTAATAATTTACTTGTATATATCATTTTTAATTAATAATACTACTGTGTAATAAAAAATCATATCACTAATCCTTTTATTAGGAAGAGTTTTAATTAAACTGAAATCTGTAAATAAAAGACGCTTTATGATTGGTCGAGCATTCAGCAATGAAAAGTTCATCCTTAGCGATAAACGCGATTATAGCGCCACCGCGTCATGCTTATGAAGGTTCCTTGTTCTGATTTTTAAACCTTATTGCACTGTATGATATAAGATTAATCAAAAAAGTGTCGTAACTTGACTAACGGTTGAACGGAATAATTGTGACATTAACTTTTTAAGCGTTATTTCTATGTATTTTGTCATAATTTGTATAAATTATATTATTAAAAATAAAATAAGAATTTCTAATAAAATGTATTTTTAAAAAATTATATTGTATTATAAATAGGGGATTTTTCGATCTGAAACTTCAAATTATTTCATATATTAAAAAATTAAATACTTTTTGGTGTATATGATTATGCCATATCGTTTGAATTATACATCGTCATGTAATATTATATTTGTATTATGCATCAACTATTGTTTTATTAAATTACAATAGATTTTTTGTAAAATTATAATGGGAGATGACTGCAACGTAACAATAAAAGAGGTATTTCAAGAACCTCGAAAAAGATTTTGGCTGGTAAGCATTTCAATTGTAAATAATGTGTTTTTTGAATGTTTGTTGACATATCCTTCGGTATTATTGAGAGTGATAAGACTGTCATTGATATGACGCAAGCATAATTTTATCAGTTTAAATATCGTTCTAGAGATCTTGTATTTTTATAGATAACACTTTAGTCCGCTGAAATGCTTAAGAAAGGATTTTATAATTTAGTAATTATTGAAAATGTCTCATTGTTTATTTAGGTTTACCACGATACTAGTAATTATATTATTTGTATAAAATTAGATGATTTAACAAATGAATTATGTAATAATATTTTAATAATTATTAATATTTTATTTAACAGAGATCGAGAAAACGACCAAAAAGTGATGTAGTTAGTGTTAATTCTATGGATATATCTATAGAATCAGATACTGGAAAAAAGAAAAAGAGACGTAGAATTACAGAAGTAGCTAGTAGTATATTCTCTTCTAGTACTTTGGGCGTAAAAGTTGGGAATACTCTTCATAGATCATTTAGTATTCAACAAAACACAGATGATTTTTTATTTACCGATGAAGACGCTCATGCAAATACAATAAGGAAAAAGTAAATAGAATTTAAAAATTTAATCTTGTCTAATCGACTATTACTTTCTTATGTGCCATATAAATCATATTCATAAATATTTCTCTACATGGACTTTTATAGACGGAGAAACAGTTCAGATGGTACAAATAATTTTACGCTTAGAAGTTGGTTGCTCGATATAGCAAATGCAAACGTTAAAGAAACATTAAATAGCACTTTAGGTCAAAGAGAAGTAAAAAGACAAGAGGCAATTTATGAATTATGTTGCGGAGAAAACTTACTCATTGATGAACTTACAATTCTTCATGATCATTATTATGCACCATTGGTTTCTAGTAATATATTCACTTTGCAAGAAATACGTACACTGTTCAGTGATCTTACAAGAATTATTGAAATTCACGGTAATTTACGAAATGAGTTGATTAATTTACGAGATTGTTCAGGATTTACAGACAACATTGGTGCTACAATACTCAATTGGGTTAGTCTCTAGTATAATCTTTATTATTATTTTTTATGAAATAAAGAAATGTATGTACACACAATTCTTATATTAAAGTATAAAAATCGAATTATTAGTAACATGATCGAATAATAAAATTTGCATATTACAATTGTTACAGATACCAAAATTAACGGAACCTTATTTAGAAAGATGTAGAACACAAGTATGGGCAAGGCATTTACTCGAGGAAAAGAAAGCAACTAATAAACGTTTCCAGGCATTTTTAAAAAGAAAGTTAGGATCACCCCATTCTCTTGACTTATGGGCTTACTTAGATGTACCAAGATCAAGAATAGTTAAATATCCTTTATTGATCAAAGAAATATTAAGACATACTACTATTGATCATTTAGATCAAATTCCGTTACAGGAATCAATTAATAAACTCACAGAATTACTACAAAATATTGATGAAGCTATGGGAAAAGCTGAATGCAAATTAGCTCAAACAAAAATCAATATTAAAAATGAATATGATCCAACTGAATGTATTAATAATGCTACAGAATTAATTACAGAGGGGCAATTGAAAGATGCGAGAGGAATGGTAAGCCAATCTTTTACAATATAAATTAAACTCGCAAAACTATACGTATAAAAAATAAATTGTAATTTTTTATATCTAACATATATAAGTAAGCAGTTCTAATCTTACTAATTATATTTCAGAAATTTTATTGTTTTCTTTTTGATACGTGTTTTGCTATGACACGCTCTACAAGACGTATACCTAAAAAATATAATCTATATTTTCCTGTTATACCAAGAGAGCAAATATCATTATGTACCGAACAGAAAAATTGTACAGATTTTGGATTTAAAATCGGTGATTACTTTCTCATATCAGAAGATAAACACGGTAAACGGCATTGGACTGATGCCTGCAATAAAATTATTAACTCTTTAAATACTAAAGAAAATAATGGTAATGAAAATAAGTTAAATTTAATAATGCAAACGCCTAACCGGTCTATACGAAAATCAGGAAATAGTAAAGATGAAAACTTTACTTTTCCTTTAAAAAAAAATGTTTTAAAACAAAAACAAAACAGTATTTCTTTCGATAAATAACATAATTATAATTACAATTGCACGTATAAATAAGTTTTTTACAATTATTTCATTTTAATACAAATAATTATTTGTATGTAATTTTATTTGTGTAATTGAAACACTTGTAGAATAATATTAATTGAATGTATATTTATATATATATATATGAAAAATACTGTTAAAAGTACTTATATTTTTCAATTCAAACTAATATATGTATTTTATATTAATTTACTCATGAGAGAATTGTTCTGTGATGGAATCATTCCACTATATTTTATCAATATAATGTTGATCACAATTCTAAACATGTAATGATTAAATTTTTATTTAATATAGATAAATATTTATTCCTATGTAGCTTGTATACTAAAACAGTTTTACATATATGTATCTTAGCGATACATAAACAAGATTCAATTTATTCACAATTAATTCTTAAATCTAGATGCATATAAATAATTGATACGTAATAAAAGTAACTTTCGGAAATATTAACTTCCAAAGTTTGAATTAACTTAAGCTTACGAATTTCTGTTTTGTGGAAGTTAAATTACATGAAAATATTAAGAAAATTTAGACATGTATTTTAAAATTACTAAAGCTATACAAAATATATTAAAAATAAAACATTAACCAACAATATGTAAAAATTAAATTGCTACATACCAAGTTTTTACATGCACCAAAACAAATGTCCTATGCATGTACTTATCTTGTAGTCAGAAATCTAAATTTTTCTATTATATTACAAAGATTTCAAAGTTAATATAAATAATATGATATAATATGTAAATTCGTATTTCTATAAAAATATATTTACAATTACATATTTTTTTGTACTTTTATAAAGAATAATCCTCTAAACAGGTAAGAAAAACATATTTTGAAATTGTTTATTTTTAGATGCATAATTGATTTTAAGATTTTGTAGGTTTCATTGAATTTCCATCGGGGTAACGTTTTTTAAAGGCTTTAATTAATTGTGGATCAATCAAATGTACTCCATCTACTTGATTACCAAGTGTTATCCAATTAGGTTGTACATTGTGTGGACGACCAAATAATTCTATTTTTCTTGTTCCAGGACTCATGCGTTCAATAATACCATAAATTTCATCTGGTTTGTGACTAGTTGCACGAACTTCTGCTACAATTACATCACTGTCTAATCCCTTATTAATACGTGGATTTCCTTTCATACCCACTAAACAGTGTTCTTTTCCATGATTCAACCAATGTCCTGTTCTTCCAGTTCTTATAATTCTCTGTAATTGATTTGTTTTTACCCAAATAATTTCATCAACTCTTTCGTAACCCCATAGTTGAAGACATTCTCTTCCTAATTCCATTGCTCTTCCTGTTACCCATAAAAATAAAAGTCCTTCATCTTGAAGTGCAGGTATTCCTAATTGCCTCATTTCATCATCTGACATTGTACCATATGGTAATTCCATATGAATGTCCCATGGCGGATCAGCCATAATCACAGCAAATTTACCGAGAACTGTCATATCTAGGTATCGTAAATCACATTGTATCCATTGTGGTGGATAAAGAGTTAACTCGCTACCTACACTACTTGTACAACTAGTGTTACTACCATTTTTATTATCAGGATTTAATGTCTTGTTAATAGTAGCATTGTTAATACCATCAGAATCATTTGTTTCTTTTGTTTGTGCAGTAGGGCCATCTACTTCATAATGGACATATCTGAATGATATATGTAATCATGATTTATATAAATCTTAAAATATATAAACATGATAAACATTAAATATATATATTTAAATAAATGTAAAATGAGAGAACTTACTTGCATGTATCCATATGAAAACAAGTATTAAGAAAACTACAATCTCCTAATGATTCATCTGTGTGACTTTGTATAATTTTTTTAAAATGTAATTTCTTACATTTTTCTGCAAAACCTGGGCCACCATTTAATTTGGCACAATCGACTCTTGTTCCATGTGGACAAAATTCCATAACTTGTGCACCGCCTTGAGAACGAAATCTTTCTGCTAACGATTTTTCTTTAGATGTTTGTTTTGACAAAAGATCCAAGATTTGTTCTCCTACTTTTTTACTTTCTTTTTCTCTAATTGTGGGCATTGAGATCAATGACATTATATCCTCTGTATTTTTTTTATCTATTTTTATCTGTTTTTCTGAAGGCATATAATCATTTAATTCAGATGCGGATGTTTCTGCACTCTCAGGATTTTCTGTGTCATCAGATTGAGAGAGACATGATGATTGTGATTCTGCAACAGAGAGAACTGTATATCCAAAGACTTCATTTTCCGTGACCTCTTTGATTCTAAAAAAAATTAAATATTAATAATATTTATGTATATATAACTTAAAATCATTGTTGATAAATATATTTAAAAAGATATCAAATAATAATATAGAACTCACTAACTTAATAATATCTTGTGCAGCTAGTTTCTCTAAAATTTTATGGATATCAGAAGTAGACACATCTGCATTCAGATTTTTACGAAGTTGATCTATTATTTCCGCAGATGTAATTGGTAGATTTGGTAAAGACTCATGTAATATACAAAGAATATCTCTTTCATATTCATTATGATCAGATTTTGAAGATGTATTGGAATCTATGGAAAAAGATACTATATTAAATATACAATTAAGTATTATTTTGATGAAGAAAAATAAAATGATTTCAAATGTTTTACCACCAGGAAGAGGTGAATCAGCAGTTGAGGTAGATGGTATGGAAGAAGTAAGAGTAAATAATTCATGTCTCTCTCTTTTTCGCTTTTGTAATTTTTCACGTAAACTATTCCTTTTAATTTTAATTGCTTGAATTTCTTCAAAAGCGTCAGACATTTTTCCTTATATATATTCTAAATGCATAATATAATAAAATCTTACTTTAATAGTTATCTACTTATATTATGTATTAAAAAAATTATACCGATATAAAAAGAATATATATATTTAAAATATATTTAAGTTTAAAAATTAATACTGAAATAGTGTCTCATTTAATACTCAATTTGTGTATTCATCAATTATTATAATATATTGATATAACTATGCACTAACAATTTTTATTATTAACATTTTTTTAAAAATGAAAATATGAATACATAATACTGCATTACTGTTTATTTACATTAATACTCTCTTATAAATAGTCACAAATAATTTTCTCGTAACTTGTTATTTCACCATTGAACGAATAGTTATTTTTATGCTCGAAAGGTGGTGCACCAAGTCCATTAACAGATCAAGTTTATACAAGTTGATCTTAAAATTGTTACACAATGGCAGGTTCTATTATAAAAAGGTTAACTTCTGCTTTTCAAAAATTTGAACAAGCATTAAAAATAATAATTAATAACAGATTTCCGCCAGGTAAATAATTTCTTTGATGTTTAAAATAGTATATATTGT